ACATAGAAGGTCCATAAATTTGCATATATACATACATATAAATGTAAGAATAGAATAGAATAATAATTGAGTTTAATAATTCAACAAGCTGTTGAACAAAATGCTCATAAATTGAAAAAACAAAAAACAAAATACTCATAAATTCTTACAATTTTTTATTCATGGTGCATAAAAGTTATATTTGATTTGTCAATAATCCTTTTTATGTTCAATAATATTCTGTATGTGTATATGTATAAATTTATGATCATATCTATATAGTAAATGTTGTTCCTATCTTGGATAAAATTGTGTATATATATATATATATATGCTAAAATAAAAGTAATTTAAGTGACAAGAAATTATTTTATGAAAAAAAATTTTTAATTTAAAAGATTGTTTTACTTTTTGATTAGGGATTGATTCTTAATTGTGTGCAAAAGGATTGAATTTTTATTTAGTGCGAAGTTATAGGGTTACAATTAAGGTTAAGATATTTCAATGAAGTTATTTTAGGAATTTGTGGCAATTATTAAATTTAATCTCTTCTTTAAGGAGATTAAATTCTTCTTAATATTAAATTAAAGTCTGATTTCTTTAAGAAAATTTCAAACAATATTTAGAAATAAAGCTTTTAAAAGTAACAATATCAGGTTACAATTGATACATTTTACAAATTATCAATGTTTTAGTTCGAAATCAGGCTTTTTGGGGCGTATACAAACCAACTCTACATAAATAATTTAATAATTTCCACTGAATTGTATTAAAACAAGATACTTCAATTTACAACATCAAAAATTCAAGAGTAATTTTCTTAAAATTAAAAAATTCTAGAGTAATTTTCAAATTTTGTTTTTTTAATGGAAGTTTTCAAGCTTCATTAATGATTTCAATGTCATTTTCCGTTAAATTAACAAAAAATTGGCCAACAATACGATTTCAGATTTTATTCTTAATTCTTCAATAAACTAAGAAAGCTAAAATTTTTCTGTTTAAACCAATTTCGATTTCCACTTAGTTGCATGTTACATCCAACCTACATAAATGTATTTTAACAACTTAAGCTTAATTCTATAGCATACTATTTCATTCCCAGTGTTAAAATTCTAACGTACTTGAACAATAATATTTTGTTTTTGAAATCACAATAATTTTTACGTTAAGTTACTTAAAAATTTTTAATACTGAAAGTGAATGGATAATGATTACTTATAAATTATTAAAAATAATAAAAACGTAATATACATTGAATATAAGTATGTTCAATACACACATATCTGTTATACATGCTTTCATTCTTAAAAAATACTTATATTTTATGTACATATACATATAATATGTGAATAAATACTCATTCAATTTGATATTAAAAGATTCTTTACAAAATACAAGTAGAGTATATCACCGTCATACACCAAAAAGTAAACTTTCATTGAAAAAAAAAAGAAAAAAAAATAAAATTCTAGGGTCCTGAAAAGTCTCATTTGTAAAATAAATGTTATATTTTTATACAAGGATTTTTTTAAGTAAAATCAGAAAAGAAAAACAAACAGAGAAAAAAATGCATACAATTTCTTGTTTTAATAGTACCAACTATAATAATTTGACATTTATAGTATGGCTGCCATACCGTACCGTACTATAATATTACACCATATATACCAACATATCTTATTATAGAGAAGAGCAATTAACAAGAAATTTTAAAATAAACACTTTTTTTTTCTCTCTTTTTATTTTTGGGGTTCTAAATAGTTCTATAATATGTAAATAAATTTAAGCAATTTAATATTGTATATATGTAGGTATAACATTTAAAAGAAGAACTGTGTTAATGCTTTTTCACTTAAAGTGAAAAATATTTAAATAGAATTTATTAAAATATAACCGTGAACTTTTTTCTCTTTTTTTTTGAAATAAGAAATTACGTGGTACAGAGGGCAGTATATTTTGTTATTTTTTTGTCAGTTTTAAGTATATTTTTTCTCATTAATAAATGTATTTCCACAGCAAGTAGATTCAAATTTCTAGAACAAACTAAATTGTTAAGGCTAAATTTGATATCATCTTAATATCGCCGTATACAATTATAAAACCATTTTTCGAATGCAAGAAGAAATGACAAAAACTATACAAAATATTTGTATAACAAATTTCAATTAATAATTTTGACATCCGTCATCTGCCAATTAGTGAAAAAATTTGCCATTTGAGAGGATTATCCAATTTGTTCCAAAAGAAATTCAAATTTTCTAATAATAGGGCCATTTACGAGTTGTTTGGAATTTGTTGCGCACTGCGGTGCAAAATTATTCATTTTCATGTATAAAAAAGTGCAAAATTACACGCAACTTTGCATGTCCTAAAACCTATTACATAGTTTTGAACATCTCTTGCAATGTTTGTTTAGATATTTTCTTAGTGCTAAGTGGAAAAATATGGTTATTTCTGAATATTTATTAATTACAAGCTAGTGGAGGTGAGAATCCTTCCATTCTGTTCATATCCAATTAAATCCAATTTTCATGTAAAGATATGCACAATTAATTTTTTTTGGACAGTTTAATAAAAATTTATACAACGGTCGTTCCCAGATTAGTGCAAATATACATATACACCGGTGCAAAAAAAAATTTGCACTTTTGCACCAACTCGTGAACAACCCCAATCATTTTCAAATTATAGTATTATAAAGAGTTAGAGTTTGAATTAAAATTAAAATAAATAACTAAAAAAAAATTATTTATTTAAGCTCAGAAAATTTTCGAATTTAAATAAATTAAAATGAAAATTGATATTCCTTTATTACACTTTAAAAATTCGAAATTTTTTTCCAACCTTGCCATAAATATACTTGACACATTTAAAAACAAAGAAAATAAATGATAAATTGTATAATTTTATAAATAAATTTATAAATTTCGTTAATTTTAATATCACACTATTTATGGAAGCTACAATCTACAATCTAATGACCTAAAAATGTATGACTTTTAATCAACGATCAAATAAATTACTGAAAGAAATTGCTAGGAGCAATCAATGAATTTCATCAAAAATAAAAAAAAAGAAGACAGTATTTAAAACAGAATTCCACCAAACACTTCCGGTCATAATTGTAACGTAATTCATTTTTGTTAATAATAATTACACTTAATAATGAAAACATTAAATAATATTAAATTATATTGTATAAATCGATATTATTTTCTATATTAATTTGTTGTTGTTCACCTACACATGACTTTATTATATTTAATTTTCGTCCTGTCATCAAGAATATTGTAGTTAACTTTATCGAATGCTTATTATAAATGAGCTTGTATATTGTATAAATATATCGATTAATAATAATGTTTTTTAATATACAACTACTTTCTTCGCTCTTAATGAGAGTTTATACCTGATCCATAAAATGATTTGAAACGTTGGTCAACCTTAATCAATAGCTTGTCACATGACAAATAATAAATTATGTACGTATGTATTTATATGGATTGAAATATCATTGGTATGAGTTTCATGAGTTTCTTATTAATTATTATTTGTTATGCATTTATACTGTAAAGTAATTAATGATATAAATATACATATATACATATACACATTTTATTTTTATCTTTTATAATTGTGTCCTTTCATAAAGGATAAGGTCAATATTTAGTAATGAAAAATGAGAAAAAATTTAAAGAAAGTGTTGAAAAATATTATCCTTACTTATTTATATACAAAGGACACTTTATTTTTTTGAATAATAATTTTTGTTTTATTTTAACAGAGAAAAAATTTATCATTTTCCCACCTCATATACCCATTTACTCTTTGTATCTATCTCTCTCTATCATTTATTCTCTATTTCAATTAAAATTTTTCATTATTGTTAATTTTATGATAATTTGCAAATTTAAAGTTATTTTAAAAAGATCTTTTAATTATATATGAGTTATTTTTAATGCTTTCTGTTTAAGAAAATATTTTTAATATTACAAAAGTAATAAAGCAGAAGCACTTAAGTAAAGCAAGAAAAGAAATAAATATGAAGCTTTAAAACAATTTAATTTTATTAATTTTACTTTAAAAATTTTTAAATTGAATTAACAATAAAAAAGTTGCACACTTTAATAAGGTTGTTGTCGAATAAAATAAAGTAAAAACGAAGCTACTCACCCCATTAATGCGAATTTTTCTTAAACCACTTCGTTGTAAGGCCAAAATCTGCAGCATTTGCATTTATTAAGCTCATGGTCTGCTGAATTGACATCCTCATTCCCAAAAGAAATAAGCAAAGCATATTTCTTTATTTAACTACAGAACATACGGATAACGTACCCGAAAAAAAAACTACCTAAGTCTGAAATATAAAAAAATTCTCATTATTTTTGGTCGGTCACCAAATTGAAATTCACCTATTTCTTCTGATCTTCTGAGTTTTGTGTCTCTATCGGCTTTTCTGAATAACGTAGATATGTTACTATATTTCGATCATAGCTTATCAGTCTCTACGAATATTGTTCTAAGTGCACTTCCATGTCATACATCCTTTATATACTTGCCTCCAGTTCAACTTTTCAGTCCAGTTCTAGTAATCACGGTAACTTTACGCTCAAAGCTAATCCTCTTTTCTAGAATACAAAATCACTTCTTGTAACATCACCAGGTGCCGAAACAGCCTGCAGGTGACTACCCAATGTTTTACTAAACAATGTCTACCGTTTCCAAAATAAAAATTCTAAGTGATGATGATAACAACCTTTCTAATTTTCCTTAGTTGATAAATAATTAGTCTGCTGATTTTGGTGTTTTGCAAAAAGTCCTTTTTTCAAGCGTCTGTTGTGCATGTTGACTATCTATTAACTATATGTTGTGCAATATAGGCGAAATGTGACAGCTATTAAAAAAATCGAATATTTAAAAATTTCACATAATTTTTTTAAACATAAACCATTTTTATTCTTTTGATGTTAAAAGATCACATACAATTATTTTTTCATTTTTTTTTTGTATTTTAATTCCAGGTGTGGCTCATACAACTTCCGAATTGAATTACAATTCAAATGTGATTGAAGTGAATCAGGTAAGTGTGATTTAAATGAATTTTAAATAATTTTAATAAATTAAAATCTCACATTCATGGTAGATAATTTAAATTTTATCCTGGTCCGGAAATAAAATAAATTTTGTTTGGAAGCATTATTCCGTTATGCATTCTTAAACTATACAAGATACTAGATGTGACACAGATTGTGTAGTTAGCTACAATAAAATTACTATAGCAAAAGCTACAATTTGTTTTTGATTCGATTATCAACTTAAAAGTTCTAGAGAACCACAAATAAAAAATAAGAAAACTTTTAACAATTTAAATTTTTCATTTGAATAAAAGAAATGTTGCTAAGTTGTTAAATAGGAAAAGACACAAAGTATAATTAAATTTATAAATTTTATAATTTATCTCCTTTCTTCTTTCTTGTTAAAAGTTAATCCTGAATAATATTTTATGGTAAATGTTTTTTATTTCTTTTATATATTTGTGGTTTCCTTATATTTAACTCTTAAGTTTGATCTTAGCCTTAGAAAATTCACAAAGTTTTAAAAATTTTATATGCACCTTAAGGTTCATTTAAATTTTCAAACATATTTTGCTGCCATTGATTGGCTGGACATATTCTGTATCATAACTGCTCTTTTACGTTTATTCGTATTTTAGTAGAATTTTAACAGTTTGGCCTATAAAATTATTTTGACATATTGCGCAATTAGAATTCTGTTTAATAAAATTTCTTCTTTAGCAATTTTTATAATAAAATTTTTATAATTTATTTTTAATTTTTAGTCATTCATTTGGCCTCTTGCAAGACCAGCTAATCCCGATGAAAGTGTTATTGTTGAATTAAGATCACAAACAACAAAAATATTACTTAAAACTGGTCTTGGTGGTTCATCTAGTTCGAGACAAGGAATTGGTGGTGGTGGTTCAAGAGGTACAATTACAAGCAGCAGTAAATGTGTTGGACAATATGTTATTCTTATGCAAGGTAAATGAAAAAGAAAAATTTAATAACAAAAATTTAAATCATAGTGTTAAATGCAAATCTGAATTACTAATAATGTTCAATATCGTATAAAATTATTTTGAATTCTAACATTCAACTGGCTCAAATATACAATTTTTATATTGGAGCCTCTTATAATAGTCTCTTGATAAAAAATTCTCAATAATTTATTTGCACAAAATTAACTTTATTTGCAAATGTACTCTTTTTAACAATATACAAACACACTTCTATAATATATGTATATATACATAGTAAATACATACGTAAATACATATTAAAAACAAAATTTATTCATTCAGTTTTTTTTCCATTTTGACCATTTAACAAATAATATACAGAAAACATTAAATATTAGCAGTACAACAATAATACACAAGTCTTTATTCCCATAATATACAAGTATACGTATGTATATTTACACATTATACAGATGAATGAATACGAAGAAGGTTTCCACTATTTCTTTGAAAATTGAATAAAATGAAAAAAATTCTGTTGAATTGAGGAATGCATGTTAAATAAGCTTCATTATAAAACAAAAAATATACGATTCAGACACAATATCTAAGACTCGGTTCACATATACATATGTATACATATAGTACAAATTCAATTATTTATTTTATTGTATATTTACGCTATCCAACATATATACGTATTAGTTTTATTATGACAAATATTTAATGTTAAAAAGGATGTGTACAAAAGCAACAGTTCATAAAAACATAAGTCAACGCAAATATAAATTCTATCCTTGAGAACTACATAAATGTTCACTGTACTACGAAACCTTTAAGGTTTACATTTACGTACATCGTATTCAAAAGTGAGAGTATAAATAGTTTCTATTAAATATAACTGTGGCACACACACAACAGAAGATAAATTTCAAAAGTATAAAAAAGAAATTTTTCAGAAAATATTCAAGCATACTTGCATGGATAAGTAAAAGAAAAATTTTTACTCAATTTCAAGACGATAAATCTTTTAGAAAATACTTGGGAGTTTATAAACTTTAAAAATTATAATAATAATAAAAATAAAAGAAGAAGAATTCAATGTTTTATCATCACATTCATCTCAAAGTAAATGCATTCATATTACAAGAACCATCATTTCATATATGCTCACCTCTTCTATTATACAAAATGGATTCACCTCCATATTGTTTAATTCAATTTTAAGATTTAATCCGAGAAAACATATGAGCACTATTTTGTCTTGTAAATTTTTTTCTGTTTTAATAAATAAAGAATTAAATTTACTGTAATTTTTATTCCTTTATCACCATCACCATATTAATATGGAAAAATTTTTCAAATTTTAAAAATGCTTTCTTTAATATTTTATTTATAAAAATTGTACAAGATTAGAATAAAATATGTGTATTAAATATTGCTAGATTAGTGGATAGCAATTATATAGGAAAATTTATATATCTGTCTCCTAACTCAAATGAGCTAAAATGTAGCCGCCAGGCTTTTTAAGGCAATAATTTATTACCGGCTGAATATAAAACTATCTTAAATGTATAATTGCATTTTAATTAATAAAATTAAATCTTTTGTATTTAAAATGTAAAATGAATCATTACAGTACTTAAAAATTTTCGCCTAAATATATGCAATATTTTTAAATAATCTTCGAATATTTTTTCAGAATGTATACATACAGACAATAATTTCATTACACAAATTTCCTTGTAGTTAAATATGTATGTATAAAATTTTCTAGTTAAATTTTCCTTAAAGAGGAGACAGATTTTGCGGTAAAACTGACGCAAAAGCTGAGAAATATGCTCAATTTGGATTAATACTGTGATGTGAGTAATTGTTTGAGTAAAATAATAATAGAAAGATTTCTTATTATAACAGGAAAAAGAGAAAACTATGATGCTATTAATGCTATTATCAACAGAAATTTTATCCCCAATAAACTGAATTAACAAACGATCATAAGGATATACATCATAAGGCCATGAAAAAAAAATGGAAAATTTTTTTAAAAGAAAAAAAAACTTCAAAATTCAATTCCCACTGAAATTTTGGGATCCCAAATATATATTTCTTCAGAAAAATAATAAAAAATGTTAAAAATAGCTTGTTCATCAAATAACAATCAATAACCAAGAAAAAAAATCCAAATTTACTATCCCAAAATTCCACATATATGTACATATATATATGCACGTGTCACAATATGTGAAATCTACGGGACAAAATAAAAAAAATTGATTTTAAATGAAATTTTAAGCATTAAATCAATACGACGTGCCAATAAATTCCAATGCTTTGTATATCAATTATGTATTCTGTTCTCTTAACACATGTATACGTTCCTCAAAAATCATACATATTAAATCCTCTATACATATGGATTTACGCAAAATTTAAAAAAAAAATATCTCACCCATCATTCAATGATAATTCATTTTTGAAATTTAACACGTAACTTCAATAAAATGTATATTCTATGTATATTGAATACAACACCTGAATAAATAATTAGTTATAAGGATAACATGAGTATATAATATGTATGTATATGTATAGGACATTGAAAATGAAAACTTTCAATAACATTAAAAAATAACAAATTTTTCTTAGCATACATTTAAAAGATATTTGATAACAATTTTCTAACCAATAAAATACAATATTGTGCATATGGATGTATACCAGTAGCAATATACATAAAAACTTAAACCTTAAACTTTCTGTATATGGAACTATAGATTATTTTATATTCATAAAATGTACGTCCAATATCTAGTTGTTTTAATATAATCTGCGTATATTAAAGTTTCCTTGTATACATTCAATGTTCAATCATAAGTTAAAAATGTTAAAGAAATTTTACTGTTTACCTTGAACGCCATCATACCAACATTATATTACTATACCATATTTTGTGGTGAAACTTCTAGATTCATATTATGTACATACCTACAATAATGGTAAACAGAAAACTTTATAACCTTGAATTAAGTATACATACACATAAATATATACCTACCGAATTGAATTGATTATATTATATATAGATAAGAATGCACTTGATATACTTAGGTATACTATATGTAGTATACACAAAATGAATATCAAGGTCAAAAACTCTTTTTCTGCAGGTAACTAGGTCAATGTCAAATTCAGAAAAACTATAATTTTATTACCCTATATATACAAAACAAACCTATATACATGAATGTATACAAGATCTTTATATTTTCAACACTGTTGCATTTTGCATCACCATAGAACAATATAAATTTTCATTATTATGAACAGTTAAAATCATAATTAATTGCATTGTAACTAAGTGTATATATATATATATATAATTTTAATGTAACAAATATTAATGGTGTATATATGTATATAATGTGCATTAATTAAAATAGAATTAAGAGACCTGATAAAATTTACACCATTTTGTAATGGGAAAAGTAATTTGGTTTCTTTTTTTTCTTTTTTATGCAGTCAGTATTACGGTTTAATTTATTGGTATAATAAAATTTAGAATTTATGGTTATATGGTTAATAGAAAAATATTATATGGATCAAGAAAATAATTTAATATCGTCTGTGTGTTCTGTTAAAACACATTAAAAGTGATAAATGAAGTGTAAATTAAAAAATCTGATTGAAATTGAAAAGTGAATTAATATTCGAATGTGATTTCGAAAAATTACTTGCCAAAATGGATTTCGAAAATGAAATTGAGATTTTTTACATAACATTAACATGCGAAAAAAAAATCTAAATTCGAAAAAAGAAGAGAAAAATTGTTATTTAATAAAAAAATAATTCCATCCGTAAAATTCAGATTAATTCTAGAAGATCTGAAATTATAATATGTATTTTTGCCTCGAAAAATTTAAATTGAATCCGTCTAAAATTCTATACATAATTCATTTTGCGACTTCATAAAATTTAAATTTTCATAAAATTTCATGAAATTTTATGAAGTCAAGCAAAAAACTTTTTTAATTTGTGGAAAAACAAATGGAAATGACAAATTGGCAATTCGAATATATTCGAAAATTTTCAAGATTTCCTGAGTTTATCCATTTTACTGTTTTTAAATTATGCGGTTACTTGAATTAGATTGGAATAAATTACAAAATTAAAGTATCTCATTCCAATATTACCGGTGGCCAGTATGAGCGGTTGCTATCTACATTCAATTTTTTCCTCAATAAACTTGAAGTTACTACGAGTATTTAACAAGTTGGACGCACCATCTGTAAATTTAAATTTAAATATTATTCGCATATAAGGCGGTTACACTGTTTAACATTTTATTTGATTTGAGTTTAAGCATTTTAAAATTTAGATTATTATGCACAGAGCATCGAAAACAAAAACCTAAATTAAAATTATTATTAATGTTATTTCGAAAAATACTAACCAAAAAAAATTTAATCCTTTTTCCAAAAAAAATTTTTTTGTTATTTTCCACTCTTTTATTCCAAAAAATTCAATGGAAGGAATTTATTAACTACCCAGCTTCAATATAAATTTAATAGCGTGTATAAAAATTTTTTTCAATATAAATTTTAAAAGAAAAATCTTAACTCACATAAAATTAAGTTGCTTTTCATTGAAATTAAATTTTAATTTTTTTTCCTGCTTTTGTTTTCAGCTCTGCTTCTTATCCTTATCTGCCTCTCTTTCTCGTTTTATTCAGGATTCTTTAACAATAACAAAAAAAAAGAGCAACTTGTTTTTATTGAGAGCCAAAGAAAAAAAAAAGAAAAGTTTCAAATTTCTGATAAATTGGTTTGGAAGTCTTTTGATGTATTTTTAATTAGGTAAATTTTATCTTTCTATAAAAAACAAGCGTTATATCGGGATTATCCAAGCAAATGATTGTGGTAATACCTATTTAAAAAATATCTTTAAAAAACAACAATAACTTAATGAAAACAAAAAAAAAATTACAATAACGCCATCTGGTGCTTCTTAGAAACTCTCGTATTCATAGTCGAGTTATTAGCATTTAAATATTTTTACCCACATAACATCCCATTATCGAGAAATCGCTGAGAATAGGAAGAAAAAAAACTCAAATAAAAATTTTCAATTTTTCTTGTTGCTTGTAATCAAACCAAGTTTCTTGCCTCTCTAATTTCATTCTTCATATTTTCATTGTAAAAAAAAAGTTATTTTTTTTTATACAAAATGGAAGAAAATTTAAAGGAAATCTTTTAAATACTTTCATTCAAAGACTGTTATTTATAATCGTTATGCTTCATCCACTGTACTAGATTACTCGTTTTATTTAATGGGCGTACATTTCTATATGTAATTATTATAATTTTAAGAAGATGGAAATTTTTTATAATTATTTCTCTTTGACCATTATTGCAGAAATTTAATAATTGATCACGTAGAACAGAAATTTTTGTATTAATTTTTTAAATTAAAATTTATAATTATGCTTACAAGTATTTATGCTGACGCCAAGATGACGTTTATTTTTGAACATTCTTAATTATCAAAAATTTAGATTGAAGTCACGATTAATAATTGTTTTCTATAAGTATGCAAGACTATTTTCCTGCTACATATATCAGCATTCAAAAACTTGAATATTCTACATTTTTTTCATGATTTATAAATGAAATTATAACTGGAAAATCATTAACAATTGTAGGAAATCTTATACGAATGAGTTCATCTAAAAACGAAAAACCAAATGAACTTACAAAAAATACTAAATAATTTTTTTTTAATGGGTAATTACTCCAATCGATGCTAATTACTTTAATCGTATTCATACTTGCGTTCATAGTGTATTTAATGTAAAAAAACATATGTAGTTTAATTATACAGTTAGCTGAGTCATACAATTTGTGGCATCATACAATCTGTTAGAATCCATAATTTATCATGCATTCGAATTTAAAATATATCGCCATTGTAGAATAAGGCTTCCTCATCTCAACTTAATATATTATAGAACTCTTCTAATATCGTAAAAATATTAGTAAACTTTTAATATTAAAACCTTACAAAGTAAAGTTTTGAAATGTGACTGCCGCAATTTAAAGCGAGACAGTATATTCTTTCAATAAATTGTAGTTCTAATGTATGTAAAAAGAAGTTACTAATTAAGAAATTATTTAGGTAATAGAGTGAATTCATGTGGATGCTTTGGGAACTGTATACATACATTGTAAACATCCGATTGAAATTTTTGATTAAAGCCTTTGAATTATGAACAACTAAAAAGCAAAATACTTCTAAATTCTAGTAGCATATAAATTATGATGATTTTATAATACTATTGGCCAATTTTCATAGATTATTGTTAATTAAAATTCTAAATTTATAAATATTCATTACTCCGTCCCCCTCCCCCTACGTCGAGGTTAATTTTTTATTCAATTTCTATCCTTAATGACCCAAAAACTTTTATAAGATTTTTTAACATTTCCTTACTCTGACACAAATCCATGCCCACTTTGTATAATGTCATAGATAATGAGTAAATCTTCATCTTTTTTTTGTTGGCCTTCTATACACTATTTGAATATTATTTACAGAAAATATAAAGTGGAATATGTAATGGCAATGAGATTACGTCATGTCCTTTGCTTTATGAATATTTTATTTTTTATAATTTTTTTTTTTAGACAAAAAGCTAAAAAGAAATTTTTTTTTTTTCTTTTTTTCACAAAAACTTGGCTTTCTCATGAAATTTACAAAATTTCAAATCAGTCTTCTTTCTCTACAAGGAAAAAAACAAAAAAATCAAAACTTCTACACAATTTGTAAATATTTTTTTTTTACTTTGTAATTTTTATGAAATCATGACTTCATACACACACAGCACGTTACATAAATACAAACGTGTGTAGTATTTTAAGATCAAAAATATTCTAGGCAAAAACTTCGATTGATAGAAAAAATTTTTTTTCAAAAAACAAATTTTATATTGTAATAAATTGAATGTTGGTCTTAGACATAATTTTTAAACAGTTTTGAAAAAAAAAGTGCTTATTAGTTGCACTCTGTCCGTGCGCCCGTCCGTCCGTGAACCCTCTAAAAATTTTGTAAAATTTGAATTTTCAGTAACTTATGTTTCCGAAACTGTAAGCTTTTCTAATTTTCTACATAAGTGAAAAGGTAGCGATTAATGTCATGCCATCAAAAAAATATAATTATTTATTTCAACTCACGCAATTACCCCTGAGTTCGACCACTATGTTATCTTTAATTTTTTTTGTCTCATCCCTAAATTTATGCAATAATTCAGTAATAAATATTTCAGTACATGAATGAAAATAACTTAAATAATGTTGTAATAAGTTGTTGAAGGGAAAAATGCTACTTTACAAACCATTGGTTTGACCCAACTTTATTTTTTAACATTTTCACTACACAAACGCACACAATCTTTGTACTTATGCCTATAATGTATGCGTACATGCTTGTATTAAAAGTTATTTACCTATAAATTTTATTTTTTTTATTTTTTGTAAAAAAAAAACATGAAAACACAAGAACAACAAACACAACAACACTATTCTCAAATATGTATATGTACATAGGAAAAGGAAAAGGGAAATTCAGAGATTAAAATTTTAAACCACTTTACTTTGAATTGAGCTGTAAGATGCTTACTTTTACGGCATATAAACAGATTATAGCAATTTTTTTATATTTTTATTTTTCTTATACATTTTAATGTATACGTGACACGTTATAATGTCTGGGTATGTATCAAGTTCTTGTTAAAGTACTCGTTGACTCTTATATATACAATTAAACATTATATGAGAAAAACAAAATAAAGAAAAAGTAAATCGGAAATTTACGGTACTTTTACCTTTAATGGTTGATTTTTTTTTTTGCATTTTGTTTTGTAGTTGTTTTCATTTTGTAAAATTTTTTACTTGTAAATATTTATTTACAAACATGCATGTAGAATTTATACAGAATGTAATATACAATTACATATGTGTACTTAAAAATTAAACGAGGATAAGAGTATATAGGTTTAGATCAATCAATTCTTAGGTAGGAACCTATAAAGGTAGAGTATTCTTAAATTATAAATAGTCGAAATAAAATTTTTCATTTATCTTACAGTGATATACAATAATTGTATGTACCTTAGCAGTTCGAATCAATGTTAAAGTGCCTTTGTTAAGGTTAATTACATTAAATTATTCTTGAATAATGTCACAGTATTTTTCACTGTTGTGAAAAATACTGTGACATTAATGGTAAAATTAAATTTGGAAAAATTAATTTTTATTCAGAGAATTTGTTAAGTTTTTTAAGGCACTTCGATAACTTGACAACTCTAGCTTATCTTTCTTAGTAAATTAACAAAATACGCCACTGTCTAACACGCTCTTAAAGAAGTGTTACTCTTCTCTCACAATATTACTCTTCGCAGTACATTTCAAATTTAGTCATATTTTTCGATGGTCACACTAAACAATATTATCATAATTTATTAATATGACAATATTATTTAATATTGTCATTAACTTTATTATTATTTTTCAAGTATTTCAAACGAAATGAAAAAATCAAAATACCATTCTTATTTAAACAATTTCATACTGTCGCATTAAATGTAAAAAATTATATTTTAATGGTGCGAAATTTGTGCATATTTGTATATATACATACTTAAGCACCTATGTACAAAAGAAATATATTCTCCTAAAATTATGCTATATTTATACATAAGAATTTAATTTTACGTAGCTACAATTGTATAATGGCTCTCTTTCTCTTTATAAACGTAAATTCCGCAAGAATATTTCAAGATGAGATGAAAATTAAAAAATATTTTTTATATTTGGTAATAGCATACTTATAAAAACCAAAAAAAAAATTATTGTCTGCATCATTTGAGATGAAATTTTTACAAATTAACATAAACTGAAATACATGTAGAGGCGTTTTAAATTTTTGTTCATTTAAAATATACGAGTATGAAGATAAAGCTGTAATACATAAATAAATAAAGAGATGAGTTAATGGAAAATGGAATTTTTCCGGTGAGATACATGAACTACAAGTAACCAACTCTTACCATTGATACAAATCTTTACGTTTCAAATTATTCACAATGAAGAGACTCGAATATATAATTTTTATTCAGATTAAAAATCGGACTTATCGGCGAAAGTTCAAAATATCATCTGTAAATTTTTCTCAATTCTTGGCCACGTTATTAATCCAAATATGTTTCATTATTTTAAGAAAAACGCTCTTGTTCTTAAATAAAAACAATTTAACATTCCTTTTGCAAATAATTATGAAAAAGGCACATTAAAAATAAAATAATCAATACCAAAAAGCAAAAAAAAAAAAAATTTTATTGCACTCTTACCCAATAAACATTTTGAAATAAAAAAAAATTTTAATATTTTTTCTTCTTCGAAATTTTCAAGTATAAAGTTTCAAGGTTTTTCTTATATAAACTTTTTGCAGCCATCATTCTCATTATTCATTAATAATCTTGAATTTTTCATTGAGATTGAAATATTTATATATACATTTTATTTATTTTGAACAGCAATTTTGTAATTTTTATTAAATTTGACAATAAAAGAGAAAAATTTATGATTCTTAGATCATTTCTTAATTAACAATATTTTTGAAAAAAAAAAAATTTATGCATAAAAATATCAAAAATTTTATTATGACATTTTATAATTCTTCAAAAAAAAATTTTATATTTTATAGGTCTTATTTCAAGAGGACGAATTTATATTGAAGACCAACTAGTTGATTTAAGTACAAACAAACCTATTGAGGTAAGTATAATCCTTACTTACGTCATATATAAACTTTGATTATCTTAATTTAAATGTTATTGGCATAATAATTATTAAAATATATATACATACATACATAATAGAATGAAAATATCATAAAAATATTTTTATATGACTATATTTAAGTACATACACACATATATATGTGTGTGTATAACAAACATATTTAGAATTTAATTATAATAATTAAAAAAAGATAATCTTAATTTAACAATCCTTAACATCAAATAGTTGTCGTACCAAGAATAATAATTGTAAATACTTATGATGTAGCCCGTACCAAAAACCTTATTCAAATGTCATTAATATACCAATATGGCACCGTAGTTTAAATATTAAAAAATTGCAATATGGTAGTCTGCTTATTTACCGGTACAGATCACAAGTTCTATTCTCAAGCAGGGTTTGATCTTAGACAATTAACAAAATTAATGGAATCTGCCTGATGAGAATTGATTTGTGTTTGATTTGTTCCGCACCGAACAAATTTCAAAGACATTTACACAACAAATTTTAGTCAAATCCAACAAAATGTTTGATTCCGTAGACTCTGACTGATTAAAAAAGTTAGAGTTCAACTTGTTTTTCAATTTTTAGTTCAACACATTCCTTCTTATTCTTGGGTGTCATCATACCGATTTTCCATCATGTCATTAATTGATAATTGCAGAAACAGGTCTTAACAAAATTTTTCAACGATATATGGGACATGAAACCTTGTCGGACATACCTTCATAAAAGTTACCGTACGATTATTTTAATATTGGGCTCGTATATACATTTTATAATAATTACTAAAGGATAAAATTATTATGTATTTAATATAGCAACATTTTCAAAATTAAGAAATGACTTAAGGATAACTGTTATACTTTATTATTTTATGATTATTTTTTGTAAAAATAAACGAATGAAAATAAATTTTTATAGACTTTTCATAATATGCGAAAATAATGAAGGAATGAAAAAATATGATGGAACATATTTTTTTTTTCTAACAAAATCCCCGGTACAACACTGTTATAATAATTACATACCTATATATAATATTAATGTATACACGAGTTTAGACAGATTATAACATTATTATGTAGTTATGAGTATAATATCCAAGTTGTTATATTATTATGACTGGGAAATAATACCAGAAATAATATTTTTAATGTGAATATAATTATGTACGTGAATAGATACTAACACATATATACTTGCGTATATAATATTCGTATGATCGTAAAAAGAAATTATAGAAAAAATGGGAAATTTTGTGGCGTTTCCAACCTAATTGAAAACAAGTATGAAAAATTGTTTTAGTCAGTTTATACTGGCTAAATTGTATCCTGTACCTTGACTTGAAAACTTGTTTTTAAAATATTTAAAATTAGTTTTTATGATTCAATGGCAGTTACGCAAACTTGTTAAGCAATTCCACGAAAACTTTAAGAATATATCTAGACTATAATTGGAAATACAACTGTCAAATTTCGCGCTAGTTTTTTTGTTTTTTTCAACTATTTTATATCAGCTTTTAAGTTTATATGGCAGCTACCAAAACCAGTAAAGCTGTTCCACAATTTTCAGATAATATCTGAAATGTGATTGGACACTCATTTAAAAATTTCATTTTAAATATCTTTATTAATTTTTGAAATATTTAATATTTTTGAGTTGTATGGCAGCTACATGAATCGTTTATTTAAATTAGTCCAAACTAGTTCAGAAATTACTTCTATTCTTCTATCTGTTTATTAAACTTCCGCATTTTTATTAAAAAAATAATCGTCCTTCAAATTCGAAAACAACCTTTAAATTTTGCAATTTGACCTCTTAAAGCCCGCAAAATTTCAATTTTTTGCAACTCATTATTTTTACATTATATAAAGTTCCACACCCATGTCTCTTTTAATTTTTTGTTGTGCACCCAAAAGTATGCATTATTTGTAGTTCTTTACATATGATATTGGGAGAACAATGTACGTAAAACGTTCTTTCAACAAAAAAAAAAAAACAAATTATTTCTCTTGTTTAAGATAAACGTGCTGCTCAGATTCGCGTTTATTATTTAAAAATTCTCAATAGAATTCAATGTACACTTGCAAAATTTCAGATTTTTTTAATACATATATGTATATATTAAGTGATTACCAATCAATGCTCAATGGATAAAGTACAATAAATAAAATCAGATTGATTTTTAGAATTTTACTTTGAACACGTATTTAGGAAATCTTTAAAAAAGCTTTCAATACTTTTATCCTTTTATAAGGACGATTATCCTATTAATTATAATTAAATAAACTTATTTTATGTTTTACTTATTTTTATAGGGCATACCTATACATGCTTATATAAATTACATTAGTACACAGAAATTATCTATAGATACATAAGTTGAATTACAAAGCATTGAATATTTTAGACCTTATATCGTATTAGAGTATACACACAGTTTATTTGATGTAAAAATAACCGGAAGGCACACAGAAGATTAAGAGAGAAAAAAAAACACTTCATACCCATAAATAACTCGCTTATACTATGCTATGAAATAAACTTTTGTATAATGTAAAAAAAGGATCTACGTTTTGTAGTGTGTAATTGTAATGAACTAGTAAACTATGCAATTAGATAAAAAAATAAAAGTTCTAAGCATATAGAGATAGTTTGTTGCTCATATTCCACTTACTCATGATTACTAAAAAAACAAAAATTTTTATTAAATTTTACCTTGAACCTATAATCATTAATGATTAAAATGAATTTGTTGTAGATTATATAGGTGTATAGGATTTCAAAGAGAAATAATGCAATTAGTTACTTAGAAGATCAAAGCAACCAGAAATTTTATTAGATTATTTAATTTATAAATTCATTAGTATTATATTTTAATAATTAATTCTTGTTACAATATTATAAACTTGTATTTTATACAATACGTTATGACACAGGCCACAACTCCGTGCATTCTTTAGTTACGGTGCCAGTTAGGACAAAACCTTTCAAAGTATATGACCATAAAGATCATAAAGTTAAATAAAACTTTCTGAATAAACAAAATTACCTCAACTGCAGGTATACACAACAACTTATTGAAATATTGCTTCATATTCTGTAATACCTCACTCTATATAATTGCGACAATGCAACATTTTATTGTAGCTCTATGCATACTGCTGTATTCAATATTGGTTATCAAAACTGATTAATGTCTATATTAAATCTAAAATTTCAAAGCAGAATTTTTTATTTTAATATTTAAGTTCAGTAGATGATTCGATAAAAAAGGAAACAAGAACTTCACATATCTGATTAAAGAATATATTTTTCACATACATGCTATACACATACGGATTATAACCTCATAAAAATGAAAATAAACCATATAAGAAAAATAATCTACATACCTACTCATACCCTTTATTCTTATTTCAAATATAAAAACTTTAAGAATATTAAATTCAATAAAATTTTTTACAGTATTTAAACATAAAAGGTGAATTTTAATACCCGTGCCATCTAACAACTAAAAATAAAGAAATTGCTTGTTGATTCTTATTTAACAATTTAAGACAATGAGAAATATTATACCTTTAGCTACATTTATTTCCCACAAAATACACATATACACACATTTAAAAGTATTAAAATTTTGATTCTTGGCACCCAAAACCAATACTTCTTTTGCTTTCAGATTATATTTTTTTCCATGTAAAATTCAAAATATATGCGTATATACACATGCACTACATTAATCTGTAAAAAAAGAAAACAAATAAATTTACATATACAAATGTATGAAAGAAAAAACAATATACGTTAGAAAAACGGATTTTTTTTTGTTTTTGTAGCAAAAGAAATGTAGAAATACATTTGATATCATGTTAAACACATTTTAAATATTTAGGACAAGCACAAATATCCTTTTATTCTTGTATTATGTTAATAATATAGACCTGGTAGCAAATGCTTTACTTACGTTCGTTATTGTTAGGAAGTTTAAAAAAATGCTAATTTAGAATATACCGCCAATATTCAATATGAAAATACTGGCGCCCGAACAGCCTTTTCAAGTTATTTTTGTGTGCAAAACAAACGCACCGACCAATTTAATTTCATATTTTGAACCTATCAATTATGATCACTGCGTACCATTCGAGACATTTAGATTAGCCTCTGAGAGTATGTGATAATATCGAATGAATTCTGCTTTCTCCATTTTTTGAACATTCGATTGATAATACTGCGGCCGGAATATTCAGGATACTTTGCTTAAAATTTAATCCTTCGAATAAACGATGGAAGCCAAATGTAATCATTGTTACCAATCCAACCAATGTTTACACGAAACCAATGTTTACATGAAACTACATTTAAGAAGTAAATTGCCATTGTTAATTTAAAATTCAATTGAAAATTGAATATGCTTTAAGAGAAACTCGCAAATATTAACTGCTACAACTTGTCTGTATTTTCATGGTATTCAAACTTACTTACCGTTATAGTAAGAGAGGGGAATCCCCTTTCTGTCATTAACGCGAAGGCCATGTAGTAACCCAACAAAAAAGCTCATGGACAATCCTAAAACTAAAAATTCGGTAACCCCCATGCCATTGAGGCAGAGAGAGTTAAAATCCTCAAATATCAATTTCTTTAAAGGAATCTCAAGAGCCACACCAAAGACTTTCTATAAAATTTCTGTAGTAACCCTGATTTTTGTGTAGTAAGTCTTCAAAATTACTTAAAAATCTGTATTTTTATTTGATAACATTATAATATTTAAAAATAATTTTAAAAAACCAATTCGAACGCAATTCAAAATTAACAGCGCATATAAAATTTGTATTTCCATCTAAATTTTTATAATGCAAGAAAATTGAAAAATATTCCCACTAGAAAATAAACAAATACCTTACATGCCTTTTTTTTATATTTTTGTAAATACTCTCAGTTAAAGAGAAAATAATCGAATACGTTAAAAATAAAAAACCAAGATATTTTTGTTAATAACCCACTCGCATACTTAAATACTCGCTATACCTAAAATTTAATATTAAAAAATTTCAGAATCCTCTTCAAAATATGCAACAATCTCTTAATTTACATTTTCTTAATATATAGAAAAAAAAAATCTCTTAACATTATTTTTAATATTTTTTCACTGAAAAACAAAAAAAAAATTTTTTTCATATTATTTTCTAGGTAATTGTTGTTTTTGAAGCCAAATATACATCTCCAGATGATGCTTCAGGCAATTTTGAACCTTCTAATCTTATTAATTCTATTCAACAACAACATCTTCAACAAGAACATTTAATTTTACATCAACAATATGAAAAACAACAACGGCATCAGCAACAACAACAACCACAACAACTACAATCAGAGCAACAGATACAAAATCAACAACAACAGCAACAACAAGAATTTTTACATAAGCAACAACAACAAAATAATTCTAGCCTAGACGATGATCAACAGATGTTACTCGATATTGAACAGAATATCGCTAACCTCGAAAGAAGTCTGAACAGAGGTAAAATTTTATATCGGAGTTTTTTTTTTTTTTGGTTTAAAAAGTATAAGAAAATAATAACAACAAAAATAATAAAATTAAAAGGATAAAATTGGAAATTTTTTTTTTTATTTTTTTTTTTGTGTTTTCTGGAAAGGTTTTCATATTTTTCAATTTATTTTTACTTAACTTTTTAAAAAGTCTATAATTTTTTTTTACTTGGTTTCTTTATTTTGGGTGATTTATGGCAAACAAAACAAAGCAAAAAAAAAAAATAAGCTCAAATAAAAAGTGAAAAAAAAAGTTTGTATAAATATGAAAACAAAAACCAAAAACAACAGTATTTAATAACGGTAAAAGAAAATACAAAGGACGCACATAACGACATTTTTCTCCTATACAAACATAATAATTTTATTTACCACACCTTATTGTGTTTAAATAAGAAAAAAAGGACTTCCGAGAAAATAAATTTTTGGATACAAAAATTTTCAAAATAACAAAAAAAAAATTGAATCCCTGTGACATTTCGAGTCTCGAATCAAATTTAATATTATCATCTATTTTTGTTTTTATTTTATTAATTCGAAAATTACAAATTACTCACTTATTGCCCATTATTATTTTTGTAAATAAAATTTTGTGCATACATACAAATAAACTATACATAAATGGCATCTATAAAAGAATTTCTTATTTTTTATTATTTACTCAAATTACATGTGAATTTCAATTAACAACATCCTTTTTGTAATAAATTATTTACTTATTTCCTTTCCAATATTTTATATATGTATTTGCAATTTCTACAAAAATAATTTACAAAATCAAAGTTGTTTACTTCTATTTTTTCCCTTTCTTGTACCCCTGTATTTTCTTCAAATACACGTGTATTATGTATAAATAAAATGTAGAAGAATAAAAATATTAAATTAATTTTTAATACTTCTGTTTTTGAGTATTAACGTATACACACAGACTTAAATTCTGAATTTGTCATTTATAATTAAATTTATATAGACTTAAACTCTGAGGCGAAATGATGTTAGAAAAAAAAATAAATAAATAAATTATTTAGAAAATTGGAATAGAACAAAATTTAATAACAAATTAATAATTTTTTTAGGTTATTATAGAAAATATTTTCCAAACCATTAAATATTTTTTGTTTTTTTTTCGGTTTTCTTCCAAAAAATTAAAGCCAGAACTGTTTTTTTTATTAGAAAAAAATTTTACACAAATTATTTTGAAAAAAATAAAAGATTTTTTATTGTGCTATTTATAAATGTAACAGTAAATTAACGTAACAGTAAATAAATGTAACAGTAAATTAATATAACAGTAATCATAGGAATGTGTTACATATTCCTATGATTACTGTTATATTATTACTGAAATTTACTTTTAAATTTTTGGTTAAAATAAGAAATACTATGAGGATAACACAATACATACAATATTAATTACTTAGGAAAATAAGAGAGAAGTGATCGAACTTTATATTATTCATAAGTACACATAGGTATATATATATATGTATAACTAATGTTCAAGGTTATTTGGCAACGATTTTATTAACAATATCAAAATAAATTAAAAATTATTCATTTTTTTGCTAAAAGGATATTAGTGTAAAAAAAATATTTCATAAAAAAATTGTGTAACTCGCTCCATATATACTTGATTAATTAACAAAAAAATTTTATGTATTAAGAAAAGAAAAATTTAAAATGAAATCTAAAAATGAAGAAAATTATAATAAAGGATGTTGGAGATTAAAATCAAAAAAATTATTATGTGATATTACTTTACAATCAATTAACGAAGGTCAGTGTTTCCTTCTTATATTAAGCGTTTAAAATAAATATGTAGCTCTTTTTTAACTTGAATACTACAATAAATTATAATTTAATATATTTTTTTTTAAATTTAAAAGAAAAGTTATTTTTTAAATATTTTTTGATTAAATTTTATAAAATGTGCAGCCAAACATTAATTGAATTTTCCACGAAAAGAATTTAAAGAGTAATTTAAAAAACAAAATTTAAATTGGAAATACGAGAGTATTTAGCTTCATTTTAATGTAGAGTGAGCAACACTTTTTCATTCATCTCAATTTTTCATTTTGATTTTTTTCTGTGTACATGATCATTTCGTTTTATTGTGACCTCTATTGAGTAATATTAGTAATTTAAAAAAAATCCTAGTGGTCAATTTTCTCACTAACTTTTTTATAAATTATATTCTCTATTTTTTCTTTAGTTTTAATTAAAACACTTAAATTGAAATTAATTTATCGCTGCATACACGCTGTGTTTTCTAAATTTTAAATCATTTCATTTAATTATACAAAATTATTCCATAAATTACAAAATAATTATATTTTGTAAGATGATAAAATATTGATAGTATTATAAGATAATCAATTAAATTTTATTATTTTATTAATAAATTAATTTTTGAATTTATTACAATCATAAATTTTCTATACAATGAAAAAAATCAACAAAAAGAAAAGCTTAGATTAGTTCTGTTAATCTTAATATTTTTGAGCTTTTAATAAATCATTATTAAAACTGACATATAATATATAAATTTTAATTATGATATTTAATAATTACAACAATTTAAATAGCTGGATGGTTTAAACGTTTTGTAATTTTATTAAAAAAGATTTTTTAAAATTTTACATTTTATTCAAAAAGTAATATTTTTTATATTTTAAAATCGATAAACATTTTGAAGAGCATTAAAATTAAAATTTTTTCCTTCCTTTTCTCCATTACAGATGGCTCTAGTGGAAATGGTTGCGGTTCTTCATCAAATCAACCAAATAAAAAAAGACATTTGTTACGACGTGTTATATCATCCGCACAAAATGTTAAATTAACTAGCTCTTCAACAACAACATCAAATCAACAAGGTGTTGCAGATGGAGGTGGTATGACTGGTACACTTGAATTAGGCAAATCACCATCAAGAGATAAAAGAATGACACTTCGTACAGTTAGAAATATGATGAGATTGGGACGTGGTAGACAAAGATCACAATCTCGAGATAGTAGTACAGAAGATGAAGGAAGGTAATTTATTTCATTTTTTTTTTAGTTGGATTTATTTTATAAAAAAAAAAATTATATTTAAAATAGATCACCTTTAATTATTGAATCGGATCAAACAAATTTAACATCAGCTACTGAAGGTGAAGAAGATGCAAAGTCACAACAATTCGAAAGTGGACAATCAGCTCAAACAAGTGACCTTGAAGAAATTCCTATATTTGATAAAGGAAAAATGTTAGTGATTGAATTTTGTATAGATGACAATATGATGATTTTATTGTATGATGTTATTTGTATTTTTAATTTTTAAAGGATCAAAGCTATGGCAAACACATCAGATCATTTAAAATCACAAGATTTTCAAGTTTGTATAACAATAATTGAAGCACGTCAACTACCTGGTCTTAATATGGATCCAGTTGTTTGTATACAAATTGGTAAAACATAAAAAATTACAATATTAAATATTACAAGAAATTGTTAATTGATTTTACTTTTTCTTTATTTGACATGCAGGTGATCAAAAGAAATATACTAGTGTCAAGGAAAGTACAAATTGCCCATATTTTAATGAGGTTCGTTCGCTTTTTATTTAGTGATTAAAATATTTTAATAAATTCTTTAATATTGTGAATGTTTTATAAGTATATATATATAAGAATGTATATTATATAATTATTTAATTATTATTTCAGTATTTCGTTTTTGACTTCCATATGCCACCTGTGATGCTTTTTGATAAAATCATAACGCTATCGGTAAATTATTATAATTTTCCTTTTTTATTTTTTTTCATTTAAAAAGGTTTTTTTTTTTGTGTGATGAAAACTATTTTGTAAACTTGTTTATAGCTATACCTATATTATATATTGTATGTATTGTGTAATATTATTGAAATATGTTAACGTTAAAGGTATAGATTTATATATATACATATGTATGTATACATTAGAATACATGCAATATTTCATAGGGAATTTCCTCATACTTTATACATAAGTAGGTTTCTCTTGTATAGCTTACCGTGATCCTTACTTAGCTTACCGTGATAATTCTAAATCAAAACGATAAATCTTTTATATTGAGAACTCATGATGGAATATCTCAAGTGGGAGATATATTTTGATTCTGATTTCAAGTTCTTGTAAAGCAAGTCGCTTAAAAAATTCACCTCCATATCGCTGTTGTGCACTTCTAATTTAAAAATAAATTTCAGTTGGTTATTGACAGAACATACAACTGCCTTTTTAAATATTTCTTAGATAACTTATTGGCAGTATTTAATTTTCAAAAATACTGAAAAGTCAGCGCTTTATTATACAAAAATACTTAGTTGCTATTTCTTATTAAACTAAAATTCTTCCGATAAAAACTTTCTAGTAGAAAAGTTAGGGATGATTTTTCAAAAATGAGATGTTTTAAGTTCTAAGAAGACGATCTAAATTTTTGGAAAAACTTAATAAACTTGAATAAAAATCCGAGACCACAATGTCCTTACCCTTGACCTTAATATTGTCATCTTTTGGAATATTTTCTTTATTAATTAATTTTTTACTTAAAAACTGGAATTTTCAAAGACAAAACAAATTGTGGAAATAACTATAATTTCACAGTTGTATAAAAATTATAGACACCTGAACTTTAAAAATGAAAAACAACATTTATTTATTTTTAAAATGTTTGTTTCATTTTTCTTATTTTAAATACAAAGAAACTGAAAACTTTAATAAAAAAATTCTTATTCTTGTTTTGTTAAAAAAGAAAAACAAAATTAATTAACATTTTTCCAACTTCAATATTTTATACATGTACACATAATTATAAAGAACAAAGTTATAAACTTGAATAAATAAAATTATTTTTCATTATTACAACTTGAAAAAAGTTAATTATGTAAATTTTACAATACAGAAGAAACTTAAGTTTAAGCACACTGAATTCAATTGCAAAACATTGGCCATTCTTTGTTTGACAGTTTTAATATTCCATTAATATATCGCTAATTAATTACTAATATAAGATGAATAAATAGAAAAATTTAAAATGAAATAAAAATTTCTATTATTTTTAGACAAAATTTAAGATTACATTCACGATGAAGTCTGATAACTATCTACATATCAGACTGAAATTATCGGATGGCCGTCAGATTTAACGTTAAAATTTTCCAAATTTTTATTTTATAATTTGCTACGAAAATTATAACCAAGAAAAAATCAGCTGATCGTTGCTCCTATTTCCCATAAAAATTTAGTTATCACCATTTTGCTTTGCAATTTAAATCTGACAGCAAGTCTGATGAGGATAGAGTACTTTCTATTATTTGAAGTAAACAAAATCTGATGTCAAACAGAGTTTAATTTACTTACTTTAAGACTTTCATCAAACTCAAATCGAATATATAACTAGGAACTTAAAATTTGAATAATAATAATTCCGGCTTATGGCAACACTATTTTTGTTTTGTTAATTAACTTATTCATTCACAATAAAGAAAAATAATTTAAATTCAAACTCTTTGCTTTCAAAAATAAATTAATTTTCTTAAAAATTTTTGTTTAAATCAACACCAAATGCATTTTTTAAATAGAATCAAGTCCTTTTTGAATTCTTTTACAATTAGAAAATCAAAGAAAATTGTTTTACTACTTTTTAAATAAAAAGACCTTGTTGTTTTATTTAAAGTAGTAAAAGAATATTTTTGTACATAGTAAAAAAGATTAATGAAATTTTCTTTTATTCAATTATATAACATTGCCTCTTTTATTCATATAGTAAGTGTAAATTCCTTTTTGTGCTAGGTTTTCCCATTTACATCTTATATTGAGAAAATTGAATTAAAGCGAAAATTGAGGTTAAAAGAGTAACAAAACCTAATGTGTTCACATACATGAATGTTATGAATGTTATTAATTATGTATTTGCCTTAAATATATGGTTAGTTTCTTATGTATATGTACAGTCAAAATATGTATATCTAGGTAACAGAAAAATTATAATTCTTAAATGAAGTTTTAAGGATTGAAAAGGATCAAGAATAAATTAACAACATTATTAGACAACAATTTTTACTTAAAACTTGATAATATTCATAAAAATATTAAAGACCTTAAACTGAACTTTTTATTACACAAATTGATTAATTATCTTGAACTTCGTTAAACTTTTAAGTATTATAGTGAAAGGAAAATTTCTTGCGAATATTGAAAATAAAAATGTGCTTATCACTTTTACTCTATTTTCCCTCCGCGCGTTTGTTTACAAAACTGCTACGCCGTTTAAGATAGGAAGCTAAAATTAAATGTATACAATTAGATATTATTGAAAATATTATTTGCCTGGAATAAAATTTTTCTGCATCCCCTCCTCTCCTCATGATAGGAGTTTGTTAATTTATATTCATCCTGACGGTATGCAATTAATATAGAATTATTTCAATATAACATCGTTACCATTATACCAATATAAATTCAAGAAGCTCTGAACTAGAATTTTTAAGTGAAAACATGCTACCTTACAAACCATGGTCATGTACTGCTGTCTTTTGTTTCCCAATTTCTAATAAGTATGTGAAAATAGTGTAGTTTTAAACCCTAAAAATGATATTATCAATTTCATTTAGAAAATTTACATTTTTGTTCATTAATCTTCAAATTTTACAATTTTAAAAAAATTTTATATGATGTTAATAGTAAAATTAATATAAAAAGAATTTTATTTGATTTTATATACTCTTTATATAAATATATATGTATATATATATATAGGTTATACATTCGAGAAAATTTTTTGGTTCAGGAACATTAGTTGGTTCATTCAAAATTGATTTGAAGACCGTTTATGATGCACCTGGTATATAAAATAAAATATATATATTATATTTTTTTAAATAATATAAAAATCTTTAATATTAAATGTGATTATTTTATATTAAATGTTTTCAATTCTTTTTAAAACTGCAAAAAAAAAATACAAGAAAATTTCCTTCATCTCAAAAATTAAAAAAATTATTTTCCTTTTTTTCAAGTTTTTGATTCATTTTCTATTTGGAACTTCATTGCTGCCAAATTTACTATACAATATTCTTTTATACAAAAATATTATGTTATAAAAATAATTTTAAATAACTGTTATACTTTAAAAATTTTAATTATTTCCACCGTTTTTTCTCATCTTATATGTTTTTTTTTTTTTGATATACTATTTTATTGCTATATACGTACTTATAATTGTATTTTTCTTGTGTGTCTGTTCACCTTTTTTTTGATGTCTCGATAATGCTATAGATATATATGTACTTAATTCATTTAATATAGTCTATACAGTTACTTGAGATTTTTCCTAAAATTAGTTGTTTTCCGCTAAAAATGTTATTAATGAAAAAAAGTTATAACAACGGCAATCTACGATTATTAATGTTACTGTATTACGAATTTCGGCATACAATTCTACTACTTCGGAATTCACAATATGAAATTCGTAACTTCTCTGAGTAAATTCGTAAAAAATTCGAAAATTCGTAATTTCAGTGCTCCGAGTGAGGTTTACAATAAGGGTGTTTGTCATTGCGCTGCGAAGCACAATCACAGTGATATTGAATAGTGTACTATTCAATAAATGAAAAACAAATTTGCAATCATATACAAACGACTGCAATGTACAATTGAACGAAATGAAAATATTCTCATTGTCTATTCAAAATATTTTACGTTTTCTCTTCAAGAGAAATATATACCTTGTAATGTGCGTTATGTACTATAAAATTTCTCTGTATTACAAATGTTATTGACAAAATTGAGAATGTCAAAATTGTTTTCAATTTATTTTATTATAAAAATTAAAATGAGGCCAATTATATTATTATTATAAATAGAAATTTTTATTTTAATGAAGAAAATTATTAATTATGAGATTTAAAGAATTGTTTTCAAAAAAATGTACGACAATCTTATATTTAAATATATTCGATTATAGCTAATTATAATTAAAAGTAAGATTTATAATAATTATTAAGTAATTAAAACGTTTCTTCTCTTTATATTTTTTATATTTGTTTCATTTTATTTATTTTTTTTTCTATTCATTCTTGGAAACCGTTTAACGTTGCTGAATGTTGTTGCTTTATAAAACACACAAATAAAAAAAAAAACACAATTTTTGCACAATTCGTTTATTAAATAATTAAAATATTATATTACACACATATTTCGTTATTTACATCACAACATACATACTTACATTATTAAAAAACTATATTGCAAAAAACAAAAATTAAAATATTAAAAAAAAAAAACACCATTGGCCATTTGCCAAACAAAAACTCAATATACACAATATACTGGCGATTTTGAAGGTTCTTCAAAGTAGAAATGTTTTACGCCCAAATAAATTAATTGGCAGTTTCAAGTTGGATCTTGCTACTGTATGGAGTCAAAAAGGTAAAAAATAATAATATTGTCTAAAAATAATTTTATTGTTATAAAAGCAAATACATATTCAAATAATTTGCAAATAATACAAATATATATTTAAATTTATATATGTATACATATATTTATGTATATATATGTATATAAATTAAGCAAAATTATTTGTTTTATACATATAATGGGTGAATTCTATTTGGTTTTTCGTGCTTTCATTTCTGTCATTTCAGGCGTGATATATTTCAAATGTCAACGTCAACTTAAAATTTCTTTTGTCATTATTTAACCATTTATGAAGAAACTGATGCCGGAACAACACTAGCGATTTACTAAACTATTTAATTATGTGTTTAAATTATTGAAATTTAAGCCATTAATTTCATGATGTTTTAGATTTGTCAATCAATCACCAAAATCAGCAGTCGATTAAACACCATTATTTTGTTTTTGAAAGATTTTTTATTTATTTAATTATTTTTTTCTTTCAGTAAAGTAGTATGTATACGTTGTTAAATTTTCAAACCAAACAAAAAATCTTCTTTATATTTACCACACTGATTTTAACTTAACACTGATTTTGACTGAAATTATTGATATTGACAGTCGAAATGTATGAAAGACTTGCTGCAAATTCGATCTTTCGAATGATACAGTTAAAAAATAAAGCCACGACCAACATTTGTCGTAAACGTAACCCCCTTAAATGTAAAAACCAAAGAATGAAAATATCACCCATTACAATGTATATAAACGTATACCACCATATATGTATATAATTAGAATTTACTGATTTTACAAAGCTTTTATGCATAAAAGAATATTATATATATATTAATTTAGTAATATTTTACTATATACACTCATTTATTATAAATAAATCATTTCGTTTATATTCCACGTATACTCCAGAATAATCACTGTATAGAAATTATGTACGCATATACCACCCATATTGTATAATTAAACTATAATTTTAACCTTAGGCAACTATACATACATACATAATATACCAAATAATTTTTTGTAATATTTATGAATTTTTAAACAGGTACATATTTCTATACATAAATATTTTAAAAATATAACATTTTATACAGACATATACATATGTACATATATTAATGTATAATACACAACATACGATAATTTTCCTAAATTTTATTGAATTTAATCCCGCTAATCGATCATTCATATTAATTTTGTATATAACTTGAATACAATCATGTACTATATCACACACAATTATTCAAAATGTTTTGCATGAAATGCTTTAACCAATTTCATATTAATTTAAATTTGCTATTTCTCTTAATAGTTTTTGATAATTTATAAATAATTATAAAAACAAATTATGTTTTTGTTATATTTTACAATGATGAATACAAAATATTAATTTATATAGACAATATTGATATATTGATAAATGAAAATAGCCAGAGGAATCTTAATAACAACCAAGGAAATTTGAAAATTGAAACCTATATTTTAATACTTTTTATATTTGTTCATATTCGTTCGTATCTAATACGGTCGATATTTTTAACTACAGAATTATTGAATAGTAATGCGAATAATTTGTGATTAGTAAAAAATTTAGAAAATCCTGTAATACTAAATATAATTAAAATTATGACATCTGTCAACAGTAATAATGTCAAATATCTTATTCATTCAAATATTTATCAATTAATTTGAATAAAAATTCCCAAAATTGAAATTGTTTTAAAATTTTTAATTTTTTCAATCATTTTTTTTTATCCAAAAAAAAATTTTACGTCAAATTTCATTTTATCCATATTAATTCATAATATTTTTTTTTTAATTCTTCAACGGAATAAATGAAAGCTCATATACTTTTGGTCTTCTATTATAAACACTTGTAAACATGCCAGTTATCCAATATGTTAAACTATGTAAATTATTCCATTGTGTTTGAGCAATAACTGCTCCTCTTCTTTCTGAATGATGACAATGTGAATCAAATATTGTTGCAATACGATTTTTAAATTGAAATGTTAATAAAATTGATCTACTATCACCAATTAATATTATAAAAATATAATCTTTTTTAAAATTTAATGTACTCCACATTTGTATACCATTTTTTAAGGCATGAAATAATTTTAAAGCAGCATCTTTTTGATATGATTCACTATTTGAGATTGGTATTTTAACATGTACATAAAACCATTCTCTTAGACAATTATCATGACAAATAAATTCTCTTATTATTGACATTGCTTCTGGTATATTAAAATTAACATTTTCAATACGTCCAGCATTTTCTAATTCAGCATATATACTATTTGCATCCAATATAGCTTTAGAATATTCTATAATAAGTTGTTTTGGTAAACGATAGAGTGTCATTGATGTTGTATCAATCATTTTTGATGCTATCTTATTAGCTGTCAAAATAACTATTAATGTACATGAATTCTTCCCATGATTACGATTTTCACCGTATCGTGATTGACAAAAATTTTCTTCGAACCACCATACTGAAATTTCATCAATTTTTATATGCTTTGATTTTGGATAATATGGTATAATTGTTTGTGACTGGGAGCGTAACATGATCCATTTGATTATAGAATGATTTTATATATTTTATGATTGTATAAAACCGAAAATTTTGCATTATTTCATTGCCTACAAAGTGTTAAGAGGAAGAAATATGGGCCATTTTTATTGAAATTTTATTATTGAAATTTTTTTAACTTTTTTTTTTAATTTTACAAATTTTAATTTTTATATGAAAACAATTTTCTGAAATACAATTTGATGTAAAAATAAATAGAAAATCAAAATTTTCTTTTTGGGTAAAGAAGATCTTAAAATTTTGTTAAAAATTGATTGGTTTTCGATATTTTCGGTCCTATAATTTAAAGTTAAATTGAAGAAAACTGTATTTTTTCGTGCACAAAATTATGCAAAACACACTCGTTCTGACTTTGGATTTTTTAGTTATAAAATTATTTTTTAACTTTATCGTACTTAATTAACTAATTCTTTAAAAAAAATTTCCTTTTACTACAAATGTTCTACCAACTCACACAACAAAAATGCAATTTTAACTTTTCTAACTGACCTTTTTACTGACCTAGAAATTAGATTGAAAAGAAAAATTTTGTCATGCAACTTTACTTTAAATTTTTTTTTATAAAAATTTTCTAAAAGAAGAATTTTGTTTTTTTTTTTTTCATACAATTCGTTCGTACATGCAATCATACATATCTGTTATACATGTTGTATTTTTAATAATCCTTTTCAATTCTCTTTCTCTTTCATATTTTGCATGCTTTTTATCAATTTTTTTTTTTACCTTATCTTTAATTTTGCATATTTTGAACGAAATTAAAAAATAAAAATTGGATTAATGTATGTACTTACTTACCTATGTATGTGTGTATGTATGTCAACATATCGTTGTAATTAATTCATTTGTGTAATTAGTTTGTATTTTCTTACGTTACTGCATGTATGCTAAAGTCAAATCACGATTACAATCACTAAAAAAATTGATCTTATGTCAACTAAAAAAAAAGAATTGAGTGCATTTGTTATTGCTCAATTTAAAAATTTTTTTTTTTTTAAAACTACTGAAAGTTTTAAAATAAAATATTCTGATGCACTTTATGTAGCACATAAGGTGAGGGTTAAATTTAATTAAATATAAAAATGAAAGCAGTTATAATGCAATTTTCTTATTCAAACATGCTTTTTAAAAGCAAAGTATCGTGTTTTGACATTAACAAAAGGGTTAACGTACACTTACGCACCTAATCTATGCGACCTCTGTATTTAAATTTATGTAATTTTTATTCTCCTTAATATACTTTCTTTATTTTAATCAACAACCAATTCTGTACACTCATTTCTTTCAATTTGTCTCAGCTAATTTTTAAATATATTAATTATATTAATTTTAAATTAATTTAGATCATCAATTTTATCACAAATGGGCTCTTCTTTCCGATCCGGAAGATTTTTATAGTGGACCAAAAGGATATTTAAAATGTGATATTGGAATTATCGGTAAAGGCGATTCCGTAAAAGTACCTCAAAAATCTGAAAAAGATCCTGATGATATAGAAGCGTAAGCCCAATTTTGTGACTAAAAAAAACTTTCAAAATTCTATTTTATTAATTTATATTTTGGTTTAAATTTTTAATCTTGTGATATTTGTATAATATTGTAGAAATTTACTTCTTCCTGATGGAGTGCCTATCGAAAGACAACGAGGAAAATTTATTGTAAAAATTTATAGAGCCGATGGACTTCCCCGAATGTATTCATCATTAATGGCAAATGTTAAAAAAGCTTTTACAGGCGAATCAAGAGATTTAGTTAGTCCATATGTTCAAGTATCTTTTGCCGGTCTTACAGTAAGGAAAAGAAAATAATTATATATGATCAAATAGTATGAAACATTTTTCTTTCAAAGGGGAAAACTACAGTAAAAAAGAATGCTTATACACCAATATGGAACGAACAGTTAGTCTTCACTGAAATGTTTCCACCATTATGTCAAAGAATTAAAGTAAGTAAAATTTTTTTTTCCAAAAGTTTTCCAATTTTTCTTCTATAAGAAATTTTAAAAATTTAAATGTGTGCTCTACAAAGGTACAATTGCGTGATGCAGATCCTGTTAAGCCTTCAATAATTGGTACTCATTATATAGATTTAAAACAAATATCAAATGATGGAGAAAAAGGTTTTCTACCAACTTTTGGACCTTCTTTTATTCATTTATACGGCTCAACACGTGATTATACAATTTTGGACCAACATTCTAATTTAAATACAGGATTAGGTGAAGGTGTAAGTTATAGAGGTCGTCTATTAATAGCAATTCGTACTGAAATTGCTGATAATATTGATACAGTGACTGAAAAGAATGTAGAATTGGAACCAACTTATCCAATTACGGAATCTTCATACTCAAAAAATGAAGAATTTTTTTTATTTTCAACTATACTTGAAGCATCAATGTTAGATAAAAAATTATCTGATAAAACAATATTTTTTGAATTGAGCTTAGGAAATGCAGGAAATTCTTTAGACGGACATAACGAAAGTTTAACAGCTAATGAAGATGAAGAATTAGAAGTAATTGATACCACCACCTATAATAGTACAACGAGTGCGTGTAAGCCAATATCACATGATAAATCACATTATTATCTACCATATTGGGATTATAAACCGTGTATGGATGTAAGATGTACACTGCCAGATTTAAGAAGACGAATGTACAATAGTAATATGATTTCTAAAATGACGGAAAATTATGAAGATGGTTTAAACGAAACTTATCGATTATTGGAAGAGGAAGATCCAAAAGCAGAAGTTAAGCTAAGAGGAACTCTAGAAGATTTAGCAGTCGCTTGTACAAAATATTTGACAATAACTAGAGCAAATTTATTGGGACCAGGAAGCGGAAAAACTAAATTGGATAAAGAAAGAATGAAGCTTTGTCAAAGAGAACTTGTAAGTAATCAAGAAGCTTTTTAATAATAATTTTCATCGATAATTATCTTTATATCACGTTAAATAGGAATCTATTGGAAATACGTCAAGAAATTTACGTGCCCTTGTGACAAAAAGCTCAATGAAGGAACGTTATAAAACAGCTCAAACATATTTACAAAAGCTTAAATTTTTAATAAGTGACGTAAGTTGTCATATGCATTTATTTACTCCTAATCAAATACAATTTTAAATTTTGAAAATATTATTTAGCCTCAAGACTCATTGCCAGATATATTTATTTGGTTAATAGCCGGAGGAAAACGTTATGCTTATCGTAGAATACCTTCCAGAGATCTAATATATTCTGATGTTGAAGAAGAATCTGGAATACATTGTGGAAAAATTCAAACAATATTTCTTAAGGTAGGACAAAATGTTCACCCCACTATATAACAAGTAAAAATAACATGCTATTTTAAATGAAACTAAATAAATTAGTTGCCAGGAAAACAAGGACATGGTCCAGCTGGTTGGGTAGTTCAAGCTAAATTGAGCATCTTCTTATGGCTAGGTGTAGTAAAAGACAAAGGAAATTTTTTCAATGGTCTTCCTATTGGTTATGACCTCTCTCAAGAACTAAGAAATGCTGATAGACCGAGAGCACTTGCACCAAGTAATATACATTATTTAGAAAAATTTGTGAGTTAGCATGATTAAAATTCGATAGACGCTTTAAATTTCTAAACTTAATTTTTTTCAGACATTCCAACTAAGAGCTCATATATATCAAGCAAGATCCTTAATTGGATCGGATGCATCAGGATTAAGTGATCCTTATGCAACTGTTTTTATAACTGAATATGCTAAAACTACTCAAGTGATTGAAGAAACACTTAGTCCAACGTGGGATGAACTTTTGGTCTTTGAGGAAATTTTAGTGTATGGTGCTAAAGATGAAATCAAAAAGGACCCACCAACCATTATAATTGAAATTTATGATCAAGATAAGGTTGGAAAATCGGAATTTATAGGACGTGCAATAGCAAAGCCCAGAGTTAAATTAAAAGAAAATGCATACGCAACACCAGCTCTTGAATGGTTTGATATTATACGGGGTACTGAGAATGCTGGAGAATTATTAGCTGCATTTGAAATGTTGGAAATTGGTTCACAAGACATGCCAAAATTGACTGAACCCAAAGTCGTAATACCCGACAATAAAGATAAGAAAGACAAACTCCAACCATATCCACCACCAGGTACTATTTTACCAGTACCAAGGGAAGTTCGTCCTCATTTAGCTCGTTTTAAGTTAGAAGTTTTATTTTGGGGTCTGAGAGACCTTAAAAGAATACATTTTATGTCTGTTGATAAGCCGCGAATAGATGTTGAATGTTCTGGACGAATATTGAGTTCTAGTATAATTCAAAATGCAAAAAAGAATCCAAATTTCCCAAATATGTTAAAATCAATTGATTTAGAGTTACCTTTAGAAGAAACTTATGCACCACCGATAACTATTCGTTGTGTTGATTGTCGTTCTTTTGGTCGTTATACTTTAGTTGGAACACATCAAATAACGTCTATCCACCGCTACATGTACAAACCACCGCCAAAAGAAGATTTAACTAAATACAAAACCATTGGAGGCCAAATTTTATTAGAGGCGCCTAACAAAGATACGGATGAGCCCATTTCACCTTCAAATAATCAATTAAGGATTGGTAAAGATGGAAAAGTTATGAGACAAACTTCATGTGAAAATTTAACTCAGTACGGAGCTGCATGTGTAACAAAAATGTAATGCAAAAATATTTTTATAATGTGTTTAATAAAATTTATTCCTTCAAATTGTGATCATGATTTATATTTGTTTTCAGCCCTTTCAGACTAAAAAGACAAGCAACGAAAAAGAAAAATCCACCGCCAGAACCCACACAAGAAGAAGACAGTGATGATGAAAACAGTAAGGATTGGTGGACTAAATATTTTTGGTCATACGAAAAGCTCATTGAAGACACAAAAGACCATATAGCGGCGAAGAATTTAAGAAATGCTTACAATAGAGATGAAAAGCAAAAACTCAGTGTGGCAAAAGGAGCGAAACTTGCTCAAAAACTGAGTCCTAGACATACTAAACCGTCAACAAAATTAAACACAGCTTTGTGTCAGGTAACTTTTTTGCACTTCAAATTTATAAAATTTATGTAAATAAAATTTTCAGATTCTTCCAAACGAGCTTGAATCACAATTTGAATATAATCATTTTAAGGAATGGTTACATTCTTTTCCATTGTATAGAGGTAAAAAGACTGGTGATTCTACAGAAGACGACAATCGAATAGTAGGTTTCTTTAAGGGAGCTATTAAAGTTTACAACTTACCATTACCGAAAGGCTTTGAAATCCAGTTACCGGTTTTACCGGGCAATGACCCAATTCACGTTCTAGTGAGGGTTTACATAGTTAAAGCTACTGACTTGCATCCAATGGATTTGAATGGAAAAGCTGATCCATATGTAGTATTACATTTGGGGAGCAAACGAATTTCGGATAAAGAAAATTATGTTAGCAAACAATTAAACCCAATATTTGGAAAATGCTTTGAAGTAGAAGCAACATTTCCACAAGATTCAATGTTGACCGTTCAAATACTCGATTGGGATCTTGTAGGTGCCGATGATTTGATTGGGGAAACTAAAATTGATTTAGAAAATAGATTTTACAGCAAACATAGAGCAACTTGTGGTTTGGCTTATAAATATGAAGAGTAAGAATTATGCTTATTAAATTTAAAAATAAATTTTAATTTTATTAACCTACAATATTTTTATTCAGATTCGGATACAACAGATGGCGTGATCCAATGAAGCCAACGCAAATATTATCTAAACTGTGTAAAGAAAATAAATTAGAGAGCCCGCATTATTTTCAAGATCGAGTAGTGATCGGAAAGTATTGTATGGCTTTTTCAGAAGAGGAAGTGGTAGCTTGGAATGGTCCAACAACGTGCAAGAATCGAGATGAACACTTGGCTTTAGCTGTACTTCACCGTTGGCAAGAAATTCCTAAATTTGGTTGTAAAGTAAGTTTTAGTTTTTTTTATAACTCTTTCAACTTGTTAATCAATATTTAACAACTTCTTGTATTATGTGCTTAGATTGTTCCTGAGCATATTGAATCACGTCCACTATATAATCCTGATAAACCTGGCATTGAACAAGGAAAACTCGAAATGTGGGTTGATATGTTTCCAATGGATATGCCATTACCTGGTCCTGCTGTTGATATTTCTCCAAGAAAACCAAAATCTTATGAACTCCGAATAGTTATTTGGAATACTGATGATGTTGTTCTAGAAGATGATGCATTTTTCACCGGCGAAAAAATGTCTGATATATATGTCAAAGGGTACACACTTAACATATTTGTTATCAAAGTTAATCAATTATAAACTATACTTATAGGTGGTTAAAGGGCCCACAAGATATTCAAGCTACTGATATACATTACCGATCCCTAACAGGAGAAGGCAATTTCAATTGGAGATTTATTTTTCCATTTGATTATTTAGCAGCAGAGGAGAGAATAGTATTGTCAAGAAAGGAATCACTTTTTAGTTGGGATGAAACTGAAGTTAAAATTCCGGCAAGATTAGAGTTACAGGTTTGGGATGCTGATCACTTTTCTGCTGATGATTTTTTGGGTAATGAAATGAAATATTTTAACTTAAAACTAAAATCAAATCAATTTTTTGTTTTATTTTTTTTCAGGTGCAATATCTTTAAATTTAAATAGGTTTCCCAGAGGAGCAAAATCCTCAAAATTATGTACATTGGATATGTTGAAAACAGAAAATGTACCAACTGTTAATATTTTCAAACAAAAACGTGTCCGCGGCTGGTGGCCCTTCTTTATTAAAAAAGCAAATGACGAAATGGAATTAACCGGTAAGGTTGAAGCTGAAATTCATTTATTGACTAAAGAAGAAGCTGAACAAAATCCAGCTGGTTTTGGACGGAATGAACCCGATCCATTAGAAAAACCAAAGTATGTATTTTGGAATAATATTTTAATGATAAGTACATATACATGTATATAAATTTTTAATTTTTTTTCTTTTTTTTAATTTATAGCCGCCCAGATGCATCATTTATGTGGTTCCTAAATCCTCTAAAATCAATTCGTTACATTGTATGGCATAATTATAAATGGGCTATTCTCAAAGGTTTAATTATATTCGGTTTAGCCCTTATGATTTTATTATTCTTTTATTCTGTGCCTGGTTATACTGTTAAGAAAATGTTAGGCGCCTAAGATAATTTTAGCAAAAAGAACCAGACGATCATCGAAATCGAATAAATTAAATAAAAATTTGTTAAAATTGAAAACAATGCTTGTTACTTTGCTGTGATGCAATCATATCAAATCTGAAATAGAAGTCATTTAAAATCAACATGTTGTTAATAGTATAAAAAAAAAAAATATTAAAACTAATCAAAAGAAACTTATTAACATTATGTGTGAATATTGTTATGTATATTGTAAAGAAGAAAAAAAAAAATCAAACGAAAATTTCGATTAATTAAGATAAAAAGAATAAAAAAATATTTTACCTCGTTAAAGAGAAAATTACTTTTAAAATTTATTTATTATATGTTTTGAAAATTTTAAAATATATTCTCTATTTATTAACGTATAAATAAATTCCATTGTTTGCTCATTTCATACAAAAGAAATACTAAAAGAAGTTGTTTTATTTACTTTTAGAATTTTCCAAAAATTTTATTTTCTATTCACATTTATTAACAGTCTGAAATTTAAATATCATTTATTTATTTTCTTTTTAAGTAACTTTAAGTCAATAGGAATTTCATTGAAAATGTTACTATTTAGCACCTTCTTTATTCAAAACTACAAGCTTTATCAAAATTTTATGGAAGCCAACAGCAAAAGTTTTCTTTTAATTTTAGATTGACCTAAAGCGTGATAATACATAATACGTTTTGCAAATTTTTAGTCCCTCTCAAGTTCCTTGTTTCGAATAAAATTATGAATAATTTTTAACATTGAACATTGAATAACAATAATATTAAAAATTTTTCTAAAATTGTATTAAAGAGTTAAGGTTCTCTGACTTGCAAAGAGATTTTCAACCAAAGTAGTTTACTGTAATAGTTATCACCAATAATTTATAATCTAGGTTAGCTGCATTTGATTTACCTAAATTTCGTTATTATTATTATACTACTATTTTAATAATAATTTTTCATTAACAAAACATTATTTAAATAATTAATTTTGCATTTTATTTCATTCTTCCTTCCAACAAATTATCGACAAAAATAACAAAATTCTTAAAATAATGACTTTTGTACAAAAATAAAACAAATACTAATTACTATCACATTTAGAACTTCGACTACATACTTTGTTATTATCTAAGGTTTTACCTACTTTTTTTTTTTATATAAAAATAAAAATTTTTAATTCATATTATAACGTACATAGATTAGTTATTTGGAACATTTTGGCATATTTTTCTTCATTTTTTTTTAAAAACTTTTATACATATTTCTTAACTATTTTAAATATAACAATAATAGTAATAAAATAAACATTTTAAGATTAAATTCTTATTCTAAAAAATTAAAAAAAAAATATAATGTAATGGAAATTTGGCTAGATTAGCCTTGTTCATCCATCAAATATTTTATAAATAAGTTGATTGTACTTGCAAATGATTTAAACCATTACGTTGTAATTTTATTCTTCTAGCCTTCTCATCACCCGGGAAAAATTTTCTCTTTGGAATGTTTAATGCATTTTTAGCTGTTAGAAAAACGTAATCTGGCAGTAAACTGACTACTATTATAAATATTGATAGCAAATAAAATGGTATCGACGACATCAGGTAAATATATGAGAAATAAATATGTGTATCGAAAATTCTGAAATAGAAAAGAAAAGTTTAAATAAATACATACACATGTTCTGAATAAAATATAAAATTTATAAATACTTACATAGGTATGACATTATACACTACAGTAGTTGCAACAAATACTAAAATTGAAAGCCAAATTGTTGCAATATAAAAATAACTGTGATATTTTGATTCAATCCAAAGTTTAAAATTTGTAACCAGAACTAGACTTTGTGTTATAATAATTGAAAATCCTGATAAATCAGAAGGTACACTATTTGACATTAAAACATCACTTATAAAGAATGTTGCGTAGGTCATGTAATAAATTATTATTGAATGATATATGGCAAAAAATATCCAAGTTAAAAATACATTCCATTGAAGTGCTTTATTCCCAGTATTTTTTTGATAAAGAGCTGGTTCTCTAAATTAAAAGAAAATATATTTGTATATCATTATCTTATTTACTTTGTGATTAACTTAATTTAAATCGTACTCACTTTAATAATGTATTAATAGAATACGGTTGTTCAGTCAATGAAATAAATAAAATTGGAAGTGCTGTATATACTACATTGAAACACATTAAGAAAAAAGGATCATAAACTGAAGTTGCAGAAAACATTGAATCAAATTGAAAAAATGCTTGAATTCCCATGAAAGCTGTATTTTTATAAAAAAAATACAATACAAGTAAGGACAATCTAGAGGTATGATAATGTCCATGTAATAAAAATATTCTTTTCACCATTTGAAATTTTGCTATAGCAAAATCTGAACATCTTGCTGCTTGTCTGCCTTCCTTTCCAAATATACCAACGCCAACATGTGCTTCTTGAATCATTGAAACGTCATTGGCACCATCTCCAATAGCTGCTGTAATATATTTTTTCTCTTTACTACTTTTTATTAATCTAACAATTTCTGATTTCTGTAAAGGTGTAAGGCGACAACATAAAACTGAGTCGCATTTTAATGCAATTTTTCGAAAATGTTCCGAAAAATCAGAAAGAACGTATTTCAGACTTTCACCGTCTATTAATAAAGATGCTTCTTTAATATTATTTTGATCATACTCTTGATCAAATAATTTCAAATGCATTTCAAGTTCTTCTTTACTTTTACATCCAATTATAAAGTATTTAAATGATGATCCTGATATATGGCCTGAGGCCAAAGCAATATTTAATGCTGTTTCTATTTTATCACCAGTCAAAACCCATACTTTTATACCAGCTGACTTTAACGATACTAATGTTTCATAAAGATTATCCTGAAGAGCATCTTCTACACCAGTAGCTCCTAGAAGATCTAAATCTGAAAAACGTTTAAATTTAATATTTCATAAGAAAGAAATTAGTTAACGACAATAAACCTTTTTCTAGATTAGCATATGCTGCATTCCTTAATATATCTCGTCTTTCTAAATCACGATTCGATAAATCCATTTCAGCTTCAAATTTTTGGAATTCTTCCAAACTTATTTTTTTGCGTGCTATGGCCAATGTTCTTAAACCACTTTTAGCAAATTGATCTATATGTAAACCAGTCTTTTCAATTAAATTACGACATTCCCTAGAGCACAATGGGAATATTATATTTTCAGCACCCTTTGTAAGCACCCAAATCGTTCCATTGTTATCTTTTACAACCACACTCATTCTTTTTCTATCAGACGTAAAATCTAATGTATATAAACGCTCATATTCAACTACTTGACATGTATTTAGCACTTTTGGAATTTTAAAATCTAGATAGGGTGGACATATCTTAAGTTTAAGTTTATTGTTTTCATCACCAACAAAAACAACACCAAGAAAAGCACAGGCCTCCAAGAGAGCTTTTTCGTCCGGACTAGATGCCATATAATCTAGGTTTCTAAAAAAAAAATTAAAATTACATATTTTTCTGTAATATTTAAATATTCTACAAATTTACTCTATGACGTATTGAATTTTCCTTTTAATTTTCTTCGAATCAGTACGAGATAAAGATAATCTTGATGTAAAAATTGGTAAAGCATATGATTCACGCGAAGAAGTAATATTTTGATCTACAAAATCCACCACATCTTCTAAAATAAAAAGAAGACCAATAACATGGAAATTTTTTTTTTTAATATTTTAATGGTTTGTTACCTGTATCAATAGTTCTTGGAGCATTTGGATTCGATCCATAACTCTGGGTTCTCCTATGACTTTTTGGTCTAAGAATTTTACTATTATAACTACTACTAGATAAATCAATCTGCGAGATTGATCTATTTATAGCACGTGCTTTTGATTTTCTTAAATCCATAGAGGTTGGAAATGATACTGTGTCGTGATCTAAAACAGGAGCTGAAGCTGCTATTGTTGCAGGATGAACCCGTCGTGATGAATGAAGTTTCGGACTTATTTTCACTGCCTTGACTCTTGCATTTTCTATTTTGTTCAATAATGGATTGTTGTCATCTTTCTTTAAAACAGAAATAATTTCTTTTGTGGCACTTTCAGTATCATCATTGAGCGAGGACTGGCTTTCTTCTGCTATGTCTGACATTGCACCAGTTTGATCCAATCGTTTAATACCATTTTCAAGTTCAGGTTCTTCTGTTAGTTTTCCACCTATTTGAATTGAATGACACAATGCTATGGCAGTAAAAAAGTTCATATGTTTTTCCTAAAACAAAAACAAATTTGAGAACATTATTTTGTGTACTTGTTATATTTAAAATTTTGCTCACTTTAAAATCACTTAAATCTATTTCACTTGAGGTTTCCATATCTCGTAATTTCGTATTATTAAAATAATATTTTTTGCCATTAATAGAACACTGTTGAAATGACATTTCATTTTTTGTTAATGTCCCAGTTTTATCAGAAAACAAAATATTAATCTGAAATATTATGAACAAAAATTAATGTATTATGCACACAATATAAGAATATTATGAAAAATGCACCTGCCCCAATTCTTCATTTAAACTTGATGAATTAACAATGCATTGCTGATCCATATCCTTACAGTATAAATCATTATCCCATTCCATAAAGAATGCTCCAATAATTCGATGTAATTCAATTGTTACATATAATGATATCGGTATTAAATAATTAAATAATATGAAAAATCCTAAAAAATCTTGAACGATACTGGATGGACTTTCAATATCTATTTTTGGTCCTAAATAGCCATGTTTTTCAACTCTAAACATTTCCATATAACGTTTTGTAAAAAACATTAATGTTACTAATACCAATAATGTTACTAATATAAATATTATAAATTTATTAATATACTCTTCGGCCGATGAAACTTTATTACGTGTCATTGTCATATTTAAAGCTAATTTTGTATCCATTCCAGTATATACAGCACAACCAATAACAAAATCAGTATTTTTAAGTCTAGAACCACGTAATAATAAATTTTGTGTACTTAATGGTAATACCGGTGAGACCATCTCATTATTTATATTTGTATAATACTGTGAATCATTACTAGCTGCATTTGATAAAATTATTTTTCCATTAAAACTATATAAATCCGAACGTGATTTTTCACATTCAATTGTACCCAATGTATGAATTTTATTTGTTTCAACTTTAGGTACACCTTTTGGTACAACCAATGTTTTTAAATTTGTTTCACCATCTAAATTTGCAGTTGTTATAAAACATTTTCCACTGGGATCTGATGATTGCATAATTACTAAATCACATGGTACATCACAATCTCGTTCAACTAAGACTAGATCTCCTTCTACCACATCCTGACATTTAATATTATATTCTTCACCATTACGTATTACTGTTACTAAAAATTTAAAATAAATATTATTAATTATACGAGTATTTACATATTATATATTTATTTATTATTTATATTTAGTTTATGGCAAGAAAAAAATTGGTATGTGCTCAATTATAATATATGTATGAAATGAATTATTTTGATTACCTGGTGAATTATTAACTATATTATCCGTTTTATATCTTAAATAGTCTTCATATCCTTGCTTGCCAGCTGTAACAGATATAACAAATGCTAATGGTAGAAGTGATGTTATAGGATTCACTGGGCTATCTATTAAAAGGAACAAAAAGAAATTAATTTAATCGTATTCTTTAAACAATTTTTTAAAAATTAAATTCATGTCTAGATACATTTACATATAATTTCTGTAATCATAGCAGAATTCTCTTACTAAATGAAAATTAAGAGTGTTACCATATACATAGATATTATTTTTAACATTTTATCATTGATAAACATGATTGAATTAAAATTAATTTAAAAGAGAGGAAAACATACTGCGAATATTATTACGAAAATCAAATCATAGGTGTAGTCTCAATTTTCAAATAGAATTTAGCAAGCTCGTCTTGCCAACAAATGCAAAAATATCAAGATTGGGTATAATCTCCAAATAGTCTCCAACATCATACAAAACAACAAAGTCCATATATCATAAATTTTTTCACACATACATATGCACATATTTTTAAACAAAAAAACTGAAATAACTCTCTAAATTTTGAACACAATAACTCTCCAAAACACAAGTACTCAAAGTCGAGCTTTTAAAGTACAAAATAATAAAATTGTAAAAAATTTTAACATAAAAACAACAAAAACAAAATTTTGTTTTTGTTGTTTACTATTTGACACATCCAATATAGCAATGTCAATTAACTATAAAAAAAAAAAAAAAAAAACTTTCTTACAATTTTTACTTTTTGCAATGGAATTTATGCAAAATATTTTTATGAAATTTAATATTTTTAAATAATTCCTTATAGTTCTCTTATACAATATAAATATTTCACCTAAACCTTGAACTTAAACAAAACTATGACGTAGTCAATTTTTCTTAAGCTTTTTTTTTTGTGTTTTTTACTTTGTCTACACTATACGTTTTTTTTTTTTTTTGCTTTCATCCATATTATGGGCGCAATAAAAAAATAATAACACATGTTCAGCCTACGTTTGTTTTCAAACTTAACCCAAATAATATTTATTCAGTACATACAGAAAATATATATGTACATATGTATGTACTTTTAAGAGAGGTTATAATAATTAATAAAGTTGGGTCAAACCAATGGTTTGTATTGTAGCACTTTTCCCTTCAACAAGTGAAAATTCTGCTTTTAAATACAGTCTATGTATAGCTATCACACTATTAAAATTATTTTCATTCATATACAAAACTATTTCTAGGATTGCATATATTTAGGATGACGCATATATGCAGTCTTTGAAATAAAGCAAAAATTAATATAAAAAGGGGTTAACATAATGCTCGATTTTAAGGGTTAATTGTGTGAGTTAAGAAAAATTATTATATTTTTTAATTTCATGGAATTTACCGTTAGCTTTTTGCGTTTATAAAAATTTGGAAAAGCTTGCGGTTTCGGAAATATAAGGTGTCAAAAATTCAAATTTTACGAATTTCAAGAGGTGATAACTTGAGAGGGGGTGCAGATGCAAAAAAATTTTCTTGTAACAAAATGAACTACTTATTAATATCTAAAAGCTCCTAAAATTTCAAGCTTCTACAGTCTGGGGTCTAGAAGAAAAACGACATCAAAAATTTGGAAAAAAAGGACTTTAGATAACGGTAAATTTGAGCGGCCATTTTGTTTTTCTTAAGTTGAACTATAGTATACCGCGCAAAGGGAAGCAAGCCACTGCCTTTCTGCGTTTGCAAAATTTCAAAAATGCTTATGGTTTCATTGCAACTAATATTTAAAAAAGGCCATTTTTAGGGTTTTGGGGGGGTATAACTTCTAGAGGAGGGGAGATAGGTAAAAATTTTGTTCTACGGAAATAAGTTTCTAGTGAAGATCTATGTACGTATGAAATTTCAGCTTTCTATCTTCAAAGGTGTAGAAGTTTTGTAAACAGACACACGGACAGACGGACGGACGGACGGACGGACGGACGGACGGACGGACGGACGGACGGACGGACGGACGGACGGACGGACGGACGGACGGACGGACGGACGGACGGACGGACGGACAGAGTGAAACTAATAAGCACTTTTTTCAAAAAATTTTTTGGAAAAGTGCTAAAAAAAATGCTATAGTGTCCCCATATTTAGGCACTAATTATTTCTTGATATTTTATAAATAATTACTTAAATCGATTCGTATTTGAAATTTATTATACAAAATTTACGAATTTACTTTGGATAACAAAATTCAACTGAAATTTGTTCAAAATTACGCCTGTATATATGCAAATTATAAAAAAGATAAACAAAGTCGCTCAATTCCGAATATAAAATTGAATTAGAATGCAAATGAACACTATTCTAAATTAAAATTTTTATTACTAACTAGCGCCACTCAAAAAAATTAGTTCGTTAATGTAATTACAAAAATTGTTTTCTCTATATCACTATGAACTATATCCATACACAATAGTATAACACAAAAAAAATTTTATCACAATTATTAATGAGACAATACCGAATAATCGAATTATCTTTCCAATACTCAAAATGGCCCCTAACGGCTATTAAAAGAAAATACTCAAATTTATAATAATATACCTACATATTTAATAATACGCCCTCGTCCACCAATGGGTTAAATATAACTTTTTATATAAAACAAAAAATTAAAAAGTATAAAAGAATGACATAAAAATCTCAGTCCTTTTTTTTATTACATTTAAATTGTTTTTAATTGAAAACCACTATATTTAATAAATTTATTCTAATATACAAAGCGTGTACATATAACAATTTTCAAATAAATCGCAAATATTTTCTTTATTAAAGTCACAAACCAACGCTGTTAAAATAGAAAATACTGTTAAATTTAAATGTTTAAGTATGATTTTGTTGTCTTTCAAGTACACATGTACTTAATATTTAATTTTTCAAATTTCAAATCATTAATACACACTTAATCAATTCAAATTAAATAAGATTGAACAAAAAGAAAAAAAAAATTACGTAAACTTTTTAACAAAAAAAAATTTTTTTTTTTCAATTTTTTAGAATTTTTTTAAATGACCGTGATTGTAAAGTCTTGCTTTATGTACACTTTTAAAAATGAAGAAGAAGAAGAAGAGGAAAAAGAGGAATTGTTAATTTGAATGATAATTTAATTAATAAGAATTTTTAAGAAATGATATAAACTTAAAATTTTTTATTTATTAAAATTTTATTTAGTATTCAATTTTTGTTTTAAATGAAACACAAAGATTTTAAAATTTTTACAAAGCCTTTTTTCCTGCATATTTTAAAAATTATTAAAAAAAACATTTATTGAATTTTAATTTATAATTTCTATTGTTATATTAAAACTTTTATACTTGTTATACATTGTACAAACACATTTATTACATCATAAAAATTACCTACCTACCTACCTACCTACCTACTTTTGTTTTAAACAATTTAAATTAGTTAAAAATGCAATATTGAATTTTAATGTGGATAACCATAATGTTACGTAACCGAGCTTAGATTTAAAATTGTCCAGCACCCAATTTTCCGGGATAGTACAGATTTTTATTAAAATTCACATCCCAAAAAAAAGGTTCTCGAGACGGTAAATCGTCCCAGTTTAGAATTTTTAAACAAAAAAAATATTAATTAAAATAATTCTAAGAATCTAGAGTTTCACTTTGTTTTTAAAGTGCTGCCTTTCTAAACAGTAATATTATGCTTTCAGATGAAAAAGTTTCCTGTTTTGCCAAATGATTAATTGTAATTGTTTAGTTCAAATAACAACATAACAGTGTCACAACACAAAATAAGCCGTAACAGTTTTTTTTTATTTTTAAAAGTTTTCAATTATAAGTAGGTAAATACAATACTTTTAGGAAAGAGAAAAAATTAAAATTGAGAATTTTTTTTACATCGGAGAGAACAAAAGCATGTGTGTGTGTGTAAGCAGAAAAAAAAATTTGTTATACTTAAATATTTCTATTGAGTTTGAATTGAATACCGAAGTGTCGCTAACAAAATCTCAATATTCTTCTTTATACTCACATAAACATTTTTTCTATAGTGGTAAAAGGAGAGAATGTCGCCCTTCGATTTCTTACTTTAAAAAACAAGCTGAAAATTTGTTAGGCAAGGTAGAAATTGTATACATAAACGTATACATAAATATAATACTTAGCCATGTTTGCCTGTCTGTCCGTCTTAAGTTTGCCTTATACTGCTTCTCCCATTAACAACTTAAATACAAGTTCAACTAGGAAGCATACTTTTTTTATATAAATTTTTTGTCATGATTTGTTTTGTTGAAAATCTGACAACCCTAGAATGGGTAGCACAAATATTATATGAAAAATATTTTATAATCAATGTTTTTAATAAGAAAATCATTTAATTCCACCGTTAGTAGGTATTTTATAAAAGTGTTATACAACACGAACATCATTTGTGATTTACGAATCAATTATAGAAATCACAATTTTTATAGAACACGAACGAAAACAATTCTTGATTAAATTTCAACAAAATTAAAAATTAAATAAATTAATTAGATAAATTGTATTTTAGAAAAAATGTACTGAACCTTCTCTTATGCTCGTATATTCATTATTATTAATATTAGATTTAAAGAATATTTCATAATAAACGAACATAAATTTTTATTAATTACGCAATACATTGGGAACACACAATAGAACAACACAAACTCGCCTCGCCTTATTTTAAAATCTTCGTCTTTTTTTTGTCTGTTTGTTATTTTTCAGATTTTTTTCTTTAATTTAAACAAAAAAAAAATTATTATCATACTTGGGTTATTAATGAAGAGGAAAAGATCTTAATATTTTCAGAATCAAATCATCAATATAACACTATATGTATAACTATTTATTCTACACACGCATTTAATATGTGTTGTTGAGTTTGTGTTTTGCGAGACTGATTTAATCTTTTTTTCCGATTCATAGTAAAACTTGAAGAACAATGAGAAAAAAATTAGGAAAATTAAATTTTAGGCTTAAAATTCGTGTTAAAATCGTAAATCTAAAATCATTCTAGTATACTATTGAAGTATTCAGTAATTTTTTGATACTACTTTGAGTTTTTTGAATTATTTGTTCCGAATAAAAAAAAATTATGTTGAATAATTAAGTAGAACTTTTGAAACTGATTAATGATAGAAAATGCCACACAAAAATTGTATCCGGATAGAAAGAGCTATATAAAAATCCTATATATGGAACCTAATATAACATATAATTCTATATATTAATGTATTAATAATTTGTGTTTGTATTTAATTTTTCTGAAAAATGTTTAATAATTTATTGGGATAAAACAAGTTAACACTTTTGGTTTCAAAAAAAATACCTCTGATAATTGTCGTGAGAGAGAAATACATATCTGTGTATGAAATTTAATAAATAATTTTTTTGAGAAAAATATTGCTAAAAAAATTAATAAATACTTATTTTAAATTTATTTTATGATATTATTTGTTCTAACAAATTTGTTCTTGTAAAACTATAAGCTTAGTTACTTGAATCGATTGCTTATGCTATGTTACTTATCATGTTTCGATTTATATACATAATATTTGTAGGAGTACCTATAACATAACCTAACACGTATCTATATTTAATTTCAGATAACAAATAGCCACAACTTGTATGTGTAATGTTAAAAATAACATAACATTAACAGCATGTTTCAAAAACAATTTTTAATATTACGACATTATTTAACATAAAATTATGAATTTTTGGCAGAATTTTTTCTCTAACCACCAAAAAAAATATATTTTTAAGACAAATTGGCTAAAAATCGACTATGTATTTTTGAACAAAACCGTATAAGCTTTCTACTCCAATTATAGAATTTTAAGTAAAAATTTCTTGAATTCTTAAAAAGTTAAAGTTTACTTGAACATTACATTTATAACAGTTGTTTGGCAATTATAGCACCAAATTTGTGATATCATTCTGCTGGTTTGTATGTATTACACCCTTTTCTTTATACAACTATAAGTAAAATATTCATTTTTATTAAGTATAATAAATTTACATATTTACACAAATTGAAAAAAAATGCATGAATTTTATTGCTAAAAATAATTTTTAATTAAAAATTATCATTTATTTAAAAAAAAATTAATTGATATCAGTTTAGAAATATTTATATATTGTATAACAGTTGAAAGATTTTGATATCATTAAATCGCATTCTGCAATTCAATGTTATATGCAACATTCAAATTTTAATAGAGTTGGTACATACATAGAAGCATGTAGTTGTGAATATTGTGAGTATTTTTCAATTCTATTAAAAAATAATTCTATATTTTGTATGTCAAGATCAAAAGAAAAGGGAACTTCAAACGAAATTTGACTATAAAAGCATTTAATTATTTTTTAATAATTAAATAAACTGAAGTTAAGAAAATTTTCATGATTGATAAGACTTGGATTTTTTCTACTAACAATAATGGAAAAATATTATATGTAATTATGTCGGAACTGTAATACAAACAAACTTTAAATGTCACCCTTTATATACTTATTTACATGCACTGTATATTACTTCAGCAATTTCAGAATTCAAAACTAACCCGAATGAGCATATTGTTTTTCCCCCTAAAGCATAATAATATGTTAATTGTATCTGTTCTACTAACTATTATATGACACCTGTATAATAACTAGCTTTCATATTATAATTACAAGTATAACAAATATCCTATCCAAAATATACACACATACATATACTTCACATAAATATTTTGATTTAAAAAATTACCGGTGGCGGCGGCTTGATTTATCATTTTTATTACTTTAACAATTAAATAGAAACAAAAAAAAAAAAAACAAAAATTCATACTCAAAATTGGAAAACATGTGATCAAAAAACAAAATGATTTTAATTTAAAAATTTAAGCGTTATAATAATTTATGTGATTTGAATAAATAAACTATGATTGTAATAAAGCGCAAAAACAACCTACACACATACGTTAACATTTAAGTATTTACGGTAAGAGTAAGATCAAAAACCTTAACTTATTTCCACTTTTGTAAGCAAGTTTATTGATATTGTAAACAAATAATTTATTTATTATTTTTTTATTTCAATTTCAATAGCATTAAAACTTCTTTCGGTTTTGTAATTATATTTTTTTTAATTAGAATTTTTTTTTTTAAAGCTTCATTTTATTAAATAATATTTTTTCAATTTCCTGATTTTAGTTTAATATAAAAAATTTCTTTTGTTTATTCAACAATTTTAATTGCTTATGCTTCAGTATGCTTCGAATTACATTGTAGAATTAATTGATTTTTGTTTAAATATTTATTTTTGTTAGCGACAATATTTTTTTTTTCCAGATAATAATTAAAATACTTAACTATGTATGTAATTTTATTACAATGAATTGCATTTTTGAATAAACATTTCTTAATTTCACTGAAATGGACTTTAAAATAATTAAATCTAGAAAATTTTATTTTACTTTCGGAAAAAAGTTCTTTTTATCTACTACTTAATTATTTATTTGAAACAAATGGAAAAACAAGGAGAAATTTCGCTTGTTCACTGCAACACTGACATGACATGCGAAATTTACACATTAAGTTAATAGAATCTTTCTCGTTACAGCATTATTGTAACAAACAGATTTCAAGTTAAAGAAATGGTGTATTTGCACAGAATAGAAATGTTATAGGCGCTTATTTCTGGACAAATAGCTCAGAAATCGTATTTTTTGAGTTATGTCACTGTTGCAATAAATTATCGATTTAACTGAGAAATTTTGATTACACTCACGCATTTCATTTCTTGTGTCTACATCTATTTTTCAAAAGATCAACTTTTTTAATTATAACTTTAAAATTCTAATTGCTTTTAAAGTAATCTTTTAATTTGCTAGACGGGCAGTTGATTTCATTTTTAGAGAATTTATTTTGTCTACATCTATTTTATATTTCTATATTTATATTCTATTTATAATAATAAAATAATCCTAAAATTAAATTTAATAACTATATTTGTATAGAAATAATTTCACTTACCAATTGACAATCCGATAATTGTTATACATAGAAAATAAAAGTTTGCTATCCTTCTGAATTGTTCAAATAAATTTAATGGTAAAAATGTTAATAACGTATATTTAGTTGATACTATCCTATTGTGTGATTTATTTTTTAAAAATTGACGTTTCTTTTTTCCTTTAACGCCACCGATTTTTATTACTACCGGTTCATTATTCTTGTTGCCAACTCGAGTATTCTGTAAAGAAAAAAGAAAAATTCAAATTTAAAGTTTAAAAATATTTACTTTTAATATACATATTTTCGGTAATTTAATAAAAATCTAAGCTTAAAGCTGTTAAATTGTAAACGGATTTAATATACATAATTATGTCAAAATTAATCTTCTTAAATGGTAGAAATGTAGGCTTAAAGAAATGCATAAAAACAAATCGTTACGAGTAAAATTAAAATATAAAATAACTAATAAGTAACAAAGTAACTAAAGTAACAATAAAATAGGTACACAGTAACTAATCAAATATTTACGAACTGAGTAATTTATTAACTTATATAACAGAGTAAATGTCATAAACTGTAATGTAATCAAAAATTTCTGACATATAGGCTTACGTTTCCACTTTAGTTATCTATATGTTATATGTATTTGTTTCAAAATTAAAAATTTAATTTCAATTACAAATGTCGAAAGATGATTGAGAGCTTATAAATAAACATGCGAAATGTACCTTTAATTTATTTATTTATAAGACCTTATCGCATTTCATAAAATAAATTTAGTGCTTAAGTATAATTTCAAGGTTTCAATTTCAAAAAATTATTAAAACATTTTTAAATATTACATACGAGTATAAGCTCACTTCCTTTTGCACTGTACTAATTATAACAATTGGTTATAAAACAATTTATTCTTAGTCATACAAAATAAATATAACATGAATAAAAATTAATCAGTTATCAGTTACTTATCATAAATTCCACAATTTTCCTTTGCGATATTCTTTTAAAAATTATGTAATAATTTGTAATTATGTAATAATTACAACTATATAAATAATAAATTGTACTAAACTCATGTAACCACATTTAAATAAAATTTTCTGTTTAAGTAATTGTTTTGGAAAATATTTTCATTAAATTATCTTAACGTTTTCAGAAGAGAAAAACCTTGTCTAACACAAAATATTTAATACATATAACAGTATATTTTATATGAATAGGTTATGATAATTGGATTTAATGTTAAAAATTATTTCTAATTCCCCTACAATTATTTAATATCGAAATTTCGTCCAAGTTCTTAATATTAAATACGAAATTCAATCTTACTACTTAATTAAATGAACATCTGCCAGGGTCTAGATATTTTTTATTTATTTTAAATGCATATAAGTATTAATTTAATTTTATAATACCTCCAGAGTTTCAGATTTTTTAAAAAATGATAACAAGAAATTGAAAATTAAATGTGGCAAAGCACATAAATTGAACCGATACTTTTCTTTTTCCATTCTGGAAATCAAAATATTACTAAAAATTTGTCACTGCAAATTCACAATTTTAAGTTTTAAAAAAAATTCAAGAAAAAAAACTTCTTTTCTAATTTATTATTTTTATTTGTAAGAAAACAAATGCCTAGGTTATACGTGACCGTACAATTAAAATATGTTTTTTACCAATAAATTATTTTATGCTAAAAAAAAATTGTGGTTACAAATTTTTCTGATTCATTTTTTGTAAGTACTTATATGACTTCAAAATTTATGTTCACTTACCTATACAAATGCAGGTATTCACAATATAATATTATATTTTTAAAGTGAGAATGTTGGGTTAGAAAATTTTGCATCTTATAAATAGATCAAGACTTTACACTTGTTTGAAAATGGTTTATGCATATGCTATATTCAAACTTGAACACCGCTATAAAAAATATTTAAATTTGAAGTGCGCATACATAATCGTCATAGTTACTTGCACTTGGAAAGAACGTGCGTAAATATTTAAAGAGCATTCGAAAAAATGGTCCAAAACTGATATCCCATATGAAAAATTTTGTAAATCTTAAATTTTAACGCTGTTCTTGAGAAGTTTTAAATCATGTGGGGTTTATAAATACGATCTTTACGCATAAGTAAAAATAGCGAGAACATTTCATCATTTTGTGATTAAGACCTTCTGAGGTGAATATTAAAAAAAGTGTGTATGAAGTAATAATTAAAACAATTAAAATGCTTTGTAATAAGTTATACAGAGAAGATTTTTTAAACTTCGCTTCAAAACATTAACGAAATTAGGATAGACAAAGCGCATGTATTAGGATAGGCAATAAAATTTATTATTAGCGCATGTACCTTTTTCTTGCTATATGTTTTGCAACTATTCACAATTAAGTAAACGCTTATTGAAAAATATTTAATTCTAATAATTCGAAATTCTATTATAATTTCATTCTTCAAAATTTTCTTACTAACTACGTCATAACTATAAACTTTTTATTTTGTAATTTCAAATTTAATATAAAATATAATTTTAATTCCACCTACCAAATTTCATTACTTACTTATATAAAAATATTTAATAACATCAATAATTTATTAAATTATTGCAAATTAAATCTGTACAATCACTATTATTATTATTTAATTTTCAAAATTTCAACCATGAAAAAGCACTTAAAAATACTACTTTATGTGAAAAGAATTTTTCAATACTAAAATAATAATTATTATTAAATACTTTACTAACACAAATATGACAATATTCTGTAGTATACAATCAAAATTAAATTAAACCTATTTTACTAATTAAATATACACTAAAAAAAAATATTAAGTAATAACTACAAATAACTACTTAAAACATGAAATCGCCTTATATTTGAACTTGAACCAATTAATAAGTAAAAGCAAATTTCTATGTACTAATTCTAAATAACTGCAATAACCTACATATGTATATGTATAAGAAATCGTACATATACATACATACATATATACACCTTAAACAATGAATTTTATGTGAAGTTTTAATTAATTAACAAATAAGTTAGAAATTTATCAAAAATCAAAAGAAAAAACACAAGTGTCGAAAATAAAATTAAATAAACAATTTGTTTTTCATTTTATAGGTTTTTTTGGTTTTTTATATAACAGTGAATTTACGACTAAATTTTTTTAAGACATAACCTTTCAAGCTTATTTAAGTACGAAGAGCGGTTTAAAAGTACATTCGAAACTTTTCAACTTCAGGGACATAGTTTTGAATGGAAAATTGAATATGTTTTATACTTATAAATAAAATTTCAGTACTTTTTTTTTCGCCTAGTTTACAAAGCCTTCCACAAAACAAATTAGCCTTAAGCGAACCACCACCTCGATATGTACAGCTTCACCGTCTCGACTTCCTCTAGGCAAAGATTGCTGTTAAAATATATCAAAAAGGCATAAGTAATATAAGAAATGAAATACATTTTGATCTCAATTTAAACCCCTTCAATTTACACATGTGCCTTTTATACTTACAGCATTTAAATGCTAATTTCTTCTCATTTTTGTTCATTTGTTCCAAAAAAATCAATTTGTTTTTTTTTTTAAATACTTAGTTATAACTTAAATGATTGATTTTATTCAAAATGGCTTTTCGATTGTGACTTAGAACAAATCAAAAAATATTTATATATATAAGTTCCTAGCACGCACTGCACTTTATATACAAACATCCATAAATTGTTATTGCTTTTTGAAATTCTTTACGACTTAAATCTTTTGAAACTTCAACGTTTCAGAAACGTTTAGAATGGTTATAAATCGAGATTAAAGCTGTAACAGGAATTTTAAAAATTTTCGGATTTATTTTTTAGTTTCCGAAATTGCATATTAAATACTTTATACTATATAATAAATTCTTTAGTACCAACCGCATTGCATTTTATACAATAAGGCAGGTTATGTGATGGTATCAAATTTCACATCTTGAGTTTTTGCCAAAAAAATTTTTTCTACATGCTAGGAAATAGTTAGATAAAGGATAAATAAATTATAAGGGAACTACTTAAAGAAGAACAACAGCAATTAATAAGAAAGCAATAATAATTACCAGCATATTGATTCCATTGGAGTTTTAATTTCATATTTTAGGGGGAATAAAATTTTAAATTTAAAGTAAAGTTTACATTTTACAAGTACTACAATCAATTAACAAGTTCGTGGCGCACATTTACTTTCTAAATTTCAAAAATAATAACATTTTCGATATTTGATAAAAAATACTTCAATTAAAATTCAAAAAAATTATTAAAAAAAAAAATTTTAAACGAAATTATTTAATGAAATTTTTAACACGTAACACAGAAAAATTAAATTTTAACTGAAAGTGATTTTTAATAACCAAAACAACTTCACTCTGGTTTTAAACTCATTAATTTTAAATTAAAAACAAAAACAATTTATTTAAAAATTTTTGTTTTTGAATATTTTATTATTTTATTCTTAAGATGTCACCAATTTTTAATTATTATTCAAAAGTTAGGTTATGAATTTTTTTCAACTTTTCAACTTAATTTACTTAACTACCTAGTCAAAATTTTGTGAGTAAAAAATAAAATTTTAAAAATTTTTATTTTACATTTTTAAAATTCTTCGATGTTACTGTGAGTACGATTTTATTTAAGTATTTTAAATTTAATGCAAAAAAAAAAAACAAATCTGACATAACCTTGAATTGTACTTAGTTAAGTCAAAATTTCTGTCACATTCATAAGTAACTGAGTACGTACTTTCTGTTTTAATTCTAATGCTATAAAAATTCAAATTAGAAATAATTAAAAATTTAATTACAACTCATTAATGCGTTGCATGTAATAAAGTATTAAAAAAAATATAAGTAAATTATTTGAAAACACCGATAATTCTAAAAAGACTCAAGGTCGAAAAAGAAACTTTTATTTTTCTTTTCAATTATTTGGAAAAATCTAAGCTTTACAACAAGAATAACTAGATATTTAAAAGATTTAAGTAAGCGATAGCCTAGTTTTTAGTTACAAGCACATTTAGTTTGCATACTTAACTTACATACTTATATACTTATATAATATATAATAATTTAATTATCAATTATGTAAGTATGTAGTAAAATTATGAATTAATTTGAATTACAATTATTTATTTTTGTTTATTACATAGTCCAATGTTAAATTTGTTATGCAACAAATTGTTAAGTTTGAGCTAAGATTGAATA